TGTCTGTGTTTCTTGCTGAATTTGAGCTTCAATAAGCTCCTGCGTTCCTATTGGCCCCTCTAGTCTTGGCATTAGAGCCCAAGCTCTGTGAGAAAATTCTCACAGGCGTGAGAAAACGAAGGAAGGCCTCCTTCTTCTCCCTACTGCGCGCTAGCGCCTTAGCTGCAGGTGTTAAAAGTGCTGTTAGTCGATTCCTCGTGGTCGGTTCTCCTAGATAGCGTGCTTTCCTAGCGGTTTCCAGAAAACTCGAAGTTGAGTGTGAGTTATTCTACATAGGTAGAATAGATTGTTATTCTTTACGGTTAAATCCTATAACTCTTTTCCACGACAACCTCGCCAACAATCTCACGGACTACCGCTTTAGTCTACTCGCCCTGACCCGGATCCAGATCAGAGAAGTATAGCCGAACCCCGTGTAACACTTGAAGCTAATTACGACGTCGCATCAATAGACACAAGGAGTGTTATTAACCCCATCACGGATCTTGGCGAAGCCAACGATGTGAGAGTTAATCACACCAAGAGCCTAAAAAAAGTCTAGTTACGGTTTCATTACTAAACATCATACCAATCATCCCTAGCGGGTAAGCAGACTATTATTTGTTGAAACAAGTCGTATTGATATATACATGCAGGCTTTTTCATCAAGAGACAGTATTTGATGACATCAAATGTAGCTCAGCGCTTGAGCGTAAGAGGAACAGCAAATCTACGTCTTGACAGTGTACAAAGATTGCGATAAGAAAAAAATAGGGCAGAGGCGCATCGAAGCAGGCCAATTTAGAAACAAACAAACAAACAAACACATTATTAGTTAGACGGGACAATCTGAAGAGCAAACGGAGGTAAAATCAGTGTTCTGCCTTCTCCGACAGTTCTTGAGGTTGTGGTGTGCTGGCGCCAGTGATGGAGGCGTAGCGGCCAGTCTCGTCGGCCTTTTCGGCCTGGCCATCCAAGTTAAAGTTGTTGCTGCTGGCGGGGCGAGAGGGCTCATTGAGCATCGTCTGATTGGATGCCGCTTGTGGTGGAGTCGCATCTGGTGTGCTCATCTCGATCTTCTTGTTCTTAGGCACGCGGATGAGCCAATACAAGACGAGAGCACCGAAGATGTTGAAAATGACGTAGACCCAAAGGATGCTGCAAATATCAGGTCAGTAGTGCTTCAGGAATACGATGGCAAACGGCTGACTTACCCAAAGTTACGCCAAGCGTCGCTGTATTTAGATGAGATGTTCTTCAGGAAGGTGTTGGTGTCCTTGACAGTACAGAAGTTGCAGTCGGCTGTAGCATTGGGGTTTTGCACAGAGCCACCATTAGCAGCAATGTATGAGGCCATGTAGTCACCGCATGTCATGCCGCGCATTGGGTTGAGCTTGACAAACTCGTTCGCGGCACACTGCACCTGGTTGTTGGCGAGACCAGTAGACAACATACCAGACACCAGATACGTGAATGGTGAGACGCGGTACATGAAGATCCAGAAGCGAGGAAACTGGGAGGGCTGGGCGAGGACACCGCAGAAGATGAGGCAGAGCGAGAACATCAAGTTGGCAATGTTACCACCAGTCTCAGCCGAGTCGATACCAGCGATGACCATGTGCGTAAAGGTCGAGGTGAAGAGCAAGAACATCCAGACGAAGAGGAATGACTGGAAACCGCGGAGAGAAACAGCATCTGTGGGCTCGGCGTTCTTGTAAAGAGCGATGGGGTAGTACCAGCAGAAGAAGATAAGCACAGCCATGAGCGAGTTCCAGGGAAGTTCGACGATAATGTTGGAAGCCATGAAAGCCTTCCAAGAGTAGGTCTTGCTAGGCCGCTCACGAACCTCGTACAAGGCACGCTGAGTGACGAAGTGGGGCATGATCTGCTGGACCAATTGACCAAAGATGGTCATCAACATGAAGATACCAAACATCTGGTTCTGGAGACCAGTCTGGGTGTTAGGCATCTTGTACAGTGAGAAGCCAATGAAGAGAGCCGAGAAGACGCAGAGAGCCGTCTTTGCGTAGATGTACGAAGGTGTGCGCCAGTATTGTTGGAAGACACGAACCAACGTCTCACGCAGCTGGACAATGAATGGTGCGGCGAACTCGCGGTAAGCAGCCTCGTCCTCACGCTTCTGGGCAGACAGGGTACGCTGGAGAGCCTCGGCCTGGCCGCGTTCCGACTTAAGTTCGGCAAGATGACGCTTGACCTCAAGATACTCGGGAGAGCCGCGCCAGGTCTGGGGCCAGTCAATTTCAGTATGCGACCCAGGAGCAGCGCCAATGACTTCCAACATCCATTCGGCAGGATTGGCGGCAGGAGGGCATGGAGGACCGCCGTTGCGAACGAAGTAGTCGACAAGGGTCTTTGAGTTTTCGCCAATGTCTCCATAGTAAACCGTACGTCCACCGCGGGCCAAAAACAAAAGACGATCAAAGCGCTGGAACAACATGGCACTAGGCTGATGGATAGTACAAAGAATAGCCTGGCCGTTCTTCTTTAGCTTGTCGAGAAGGTCCAGAATAGCCCAAGAGGTTTGCGAGTCGAGTCCAGAGGTGGGTTCGTCAAGGAAAAGGAGGAGTGCTGGCTTAGCAGCCAATTCGACACCAATAGTAAGACGCTTTCGCTGCTCGACATTGAGACCTTCACCAGGCACACCCACGACCGCATCTGCGTATTCGGACATGTCCAGAAGCTTGATGACCTCGTCGACGTATTTGATCTTCTCTTCGCGGGAGACGTGTGCTGGCTGGCGCAGGATAGCAGAGAAAGTAAGGGCTTCGCGAACAGTTGAAGTGGAAAGGTGAAGATCTTGTTGTTGAGCGTAGCCCGTCTTGCGCTGGAAAGAGTCGTCACGGGGCTTGCCGTCTACCAGCATTTGACCGGTGATGACGCCCATGGTCGTACGCGTAGCCAAGCAGTCCAAAAGAGTAGTTTTACCAGCACCCGAAACACCCATGAGGGCAGTCAGAGTACCAGGCTTAACCCATCCATTGACGTGGTCGAGAATGCGGCGAGGCTCCCCCTTGATGGTGATGTCGTAGCAAACGTCCTCCCATTGGAAGATGGCGGTTTGACATTCAATTATAGCAATCTCATCAGAACTATCATTCTGCACAGCGACAGGACGTCCAGGATTAGCAGCTTCAACATCATCGTCGGACCTGCTTCTGGGAATGGGGAGCTTGTGACCACGACGGAAAACCAGGACTTCACCCTTGGACTTCTTGGCGGTAATGAATTCTGTTCCAGCAAGATAGATGAACATGAAGAAAATCAAGAATGCCCACATGATTCCGTAGTTGCGCCATTTGTTGCCAATTTTGTAGCCGAAAGCCGAGCCAATGTAGGCGTCACCTTCGACCCAGGGCTGTCCCGCAACGGATCCTATAGCGCTACAAGCTCGTTCGATACCCGAGGCATTCTCATAGCCAGTGCCGGAAGGAATGTACTTGTTGCACTGGAACCGCCTGTTGTGGTACTCGTTGACCATGAGCGACTCGAAACCATAGGCGACGGGGTTGACGCGGCGTATCCACTTGGCCCACCCCCGCATGTAGTTGGGAGGAATGGCGAAGCCAGTGTACATGACGAGAGCCAGGATGAGAATTGCAGCGGGCGCCAAAGCCTGTTCCAGGGTGCGCGACACAGCGGCAATGGATCGGAAAAGCATGGACATGGTGACGGTCAGCGTGAAGGAGATGAGGAGGAAGAAGAAGAAGTTGCCAGGCTCTCTCCGCAGGTTCGTCATGAAGTACAAAGTCAGGTTGAAACAGATTGCATTCACAATCTTGTAGGGCATATCCGTCAACATACTGGCAAAGGCTTCGGCAGATGGATGGTATAGAGCGTAGCGCGAGTGCTTCTCGACAATGGAACGTTGAGCATAGAGCGTCAGGATCTCGAGAGCAGAACTGAAGGCACTCATGAGGATGGCGAAGAAGAGTAGAGCGGATCGGGAATAGAAACTTCCCGACGTTTCCTGGAGGTTGTAGAAGACGGATCCAATGATGAGGGCCATGATGGAGTTTGCGAAAAACGCCGACATTGTAAGACTAGGATCAGCCTTTAAACGGACGAAGCCTCGCCATAGACAAAGCTTGATTTGGTCTCCGTAAGAAAGCGTGTAGGGCGACTGCTCGCGCTGGCCCTTTGCTTTCTCAAGTTTGCGGGCCTCCTGGAAGCGCTGGCTGGACTCGCCACCAATGGGATACTTTTGCTCGTAGGCTTCAATCTCGCCAAGGAGAGCTGCTCGCTCGGGAGAATTCAGCCACCGCTGCGCAAACTCATCAGGAGTGCGGGGAACGCGGCCCTCGAAGCCATCGCGAACGATACGCTCGAGGGGACTGGTCATGGAAGTCAAGAAATCGGCATCAGTCTGACGGTCGGGGCAGTAGAAACCCATGTTGACGAAGTAATCCTTGGCTGCTGTGGTACTGCCAAAGTAGATCTGGCGGCCTTCGTAGAGAACTAGCGCCTTGTCGAAGAGATCGTAAGCGGCTTGGGGCGCCTGGTAAATGGCGACAAATGCGGTACTGCCGTTGATCTCCGTCTCCATACGTAGCGTCTTGCAGAACTCGACGGCGTTTGCAGAGTCGAGACCTCTGGTGGAGTTGTCCCATGCTTGCAGGGGTGCTCTGCTGAGAGAGGCCTCGGCAATGGTGACACGTTTTCGCTCTCCACCGGAGACACCACGGATGTAGTCATTACCAACGCGAGTGTTGATAGTGTGAGAGATTCCGTACAAGGCCATGATGACATCACGCTGGTGTTCAGCGTACTGCTTTACACTGACGCCACCTAGGATGTGTCTTGGGCGACGAGCTTGAGCAGCAAAGTAGAGCGTCTCTCCGACCGTCAAGATGGGGAAATGAACATCGACTTCAGCGGTGTAGATAGCTTCACCGCGGTACTTGTTGTTCATTTCCTCGGCACTGATACCTTGGTAGTTGAGGCGCGAGTTTTCGTCGACAAAGAAACCGTGCGTCTCTCCAGTAATCGTCTTCAAGAAAGTGGAGCAACCGGATCCGGGGGGTCCAAGCACAACCAACATCTCACCCGCCTCTACTATGCCGTCGCAGTTTCGCAGAATATTGATCTTGCGGCCTTTATCGCCCATGAGTTTCTTGGCCAAGCCAACACCCGCGAGCCAACTGTTACCAACGCTCTTCTGGAAATCGGCATCGGTGCCAAAACCATGGACGTTGAGGTCGCGAAAACTTATGCCGGCAGTGCGTTTGGGCGGTGCATTGGCGTCTTGCTCTTGCAAGTTAAGCATGGCCTTTGTCCAGGCGCGGGCGTTGAAGTTTTTGCCATTGGGGTCGAGGGGCGAGTCGGGAGCGGCATTGAAGGGGTTTCCATATGCATAGGATTGGCTGCTCTGGGCAGTCAGGCGTCTGGCAAGATGGTGGACAGCCTCCTCTCTCCGGTTGGCCTCTGCTATTTCGTCGGCATCGCGTGTGTTGTAGGGCCCTTTCTTTGGGTCTGAGTGGTGGTGGTGAGCGCCGGTCGAGCCGTCAGCAGCAGCTATTGTGGATGCGTCTGATTCGGAGTGGGCGTGGTCGTGATGGTCATGGTCATGTGAGTGTTGTAGACTCATGGTGGGCCAAGTGGTGCCACTGAGTGGCCAGGACCAGTGTGAGTAACGTGAGGGAGGCAAACAGGAACAGGTATTAGGGAGTAGAGGTATTAGAAGGTGGTATGAGAAGGGGATGTAGGACCAAGAGGTGCAAGGCCAGGAAAGAAATGGATAGCAACGATAAACGGAAGACGCAGCTAATAAGAGCAGTGCTGGCCTGGCTGGCCCGGTGAAGAATTTGGTCCAGCGTACGGGGGACCTTCACGGCTTGGCTTGCCAGCCGGAGGACGGATGCTCTCGTCTACCTGGCAGAAATGGCATGGTGGATCCCGGCTATGCGGGCATACGACGGCCTGTAAGCCAGCCAGCCAATCGGACCCGCAAAGCTACGAGAGATTTATCTTTCTACCTTGTTCTCTCATTCACCGACCAACTGGCCACTACGGTTTTGCCATGTGCAGCCCCGGACGAACTGCGCATGCGGCTGCGCTAGAAGCTGCCTCTTCCGATCATCTCGCGAGGCTCTGACGTCGCGCTGCACCGCGCGCCCCTGTCGTAGTCCCCGGCACTGCGTGTGTGTGCTACAGCTGCTGTAGCCCACACGTATGATGAGCCATGGGCGGTGTCCGTGGCCATTCGTCCGGTTGTCCATACAATGCTGCCCTTTGCTGTACTCGTGCTCGGCGCGCGCATGTGGCTGAGCCAAGTGCTTGGTTAGCCCGCTCACTTGGCGTAGTTGGACAAGCGGAAGAGAAAGCGAGGGCGGCTCTTGGTCCTTGAAATGCAGGCAGTCTGGGCAGCACTTGTAGTAGACTGCATCTTGTGCGCGTCGTCGACTCGCCTTGGGCCAGGAGAAAGCGGGCAAACGGAGCCACGCACCATGTCGACGCTGTGCCCGGCCAGGGCAGACACGCAATGCAATTGTTTGTTGGCCCCCCTGGCCAGGCGACCGACGACGCTAGAACATTTGCTGCGGACGAAAAATCGCAGTGGTGTAGGTGAAGAAGGGTGGGTGGAGACGGGAGCCCCGGCTGGCAGAGAGCATCATGACGCTAAGTGGCTAGCTCGGCTCGGCGACGGATACGCCTCGATCCGGGGCAGGGCTCTCTGCTCTGGGGGGACCTGCAAGATATGTGAACGCCTCAGCCTTACCGAGTCCCGGCGACCTGACAAGCTAATCTGGCCCAGCGGAACCGTCACCAGGCGGATGCCCTTTTCCCGGCTGCCGATGCAGCACATGCTGGCACTCTGTATATCTCGGTGTGTCGCCCAAGTGCTTATACGCCTCGCTGCAAGTTGCCATCTGCCTGAATATCCCTATGTCTTGCGGTTTTGGTCCGGCAGCCAGTCCCCGTCCTGCAGCCCCCCGGCTACTCCGTATATCTGAAATCATTCGGCCCCAGCTCTTCACGTGTCTGCCCACTGGGCCCGTCTGCCATAGGGAGTTCTACACACATATGCAACGAGAGAAGGAGAGGGACCCGGCCCAATCGAGACGCTTTGTCCTAGGGGCATTCTCTGATTTATAGGAGCTCCTTTAGTAAGCCCCGACAACTGGTCTCGGCCGAGGAAACGAGCGGACGAGCTTCAAGTCGTAAGCTCGTTGCAGCATGACTAGGTAGTGCAGCACTGTCCAATCAAGACACATCTGTGCTGTGACAACATGAAGACTACCTTTTCTCTGCGCTCTCCAGCTGGTTCCGTTTGATGCCCTAGTTGCCTCGTGGACGGCATGTATGAATCTGCGCATTTGCGTGTTGTGTAGGGGCAGCCCCCTACAAGAAGAGCGCACGCAAGACACCAGGCGCGCGATAGAAACAAGCGTCTCGCGTATCGAATTCCGCTAAGTAAGCTAAGGAAAGATAACACGGTCGAAAATTACGCCGCACAGACCCAATCCGACCGGACCCGACCAACAATTGCAGTTGCGCTCGTCCGCAAACTCCGAGCCTAGCACTATCGCTTTCACACGCCACAACGCACCAACACGACGACTCTGCGTCGCACGCGGCCAATACGACAATGCGATACGTGCAATGTTTCAGAAAATGCCGACTCCAGCTCGAAACAGCCTTGCTGTCACTATCGTCGTACGCATGTCACAATCGCATCCCAACGGGTCCGTCCCTTTTCCGTCCCGATGCGCCATACGCCACCGTCCCCACCACTACCCGCATCGACTTCTGCAGTCTGTCATACCCGATGATCCACACTGCCCGCATCCCGCCCCCGAAGAAATGATAAGCTACGCACGATTCCCCCGGATTTGCTTACGATGGCAACGCTATATCTAGGTTTCCTTCCGTGCGTCGTCCCCACATACGAGTCGTAATTTCCCCAGCCCGTTCCTACGATATAAAAGCACTCCAAATTGCTGGAGCGTGCAAGATGGTGAGGGGCAATAGACTCGAAACGTGTCTTCAAACTGAACTGGACTGGACTGGACTGGACTGGACAGAATTGAACGAGACTGAACGAGACTACACCTAGACTGCGCCTAGACTGCACTACGCTGCACTGAACTGCACTAAACTGGCACCCAACACTCGATTCTACGTATTTTCGTCACTCCAGACATACCAGGTAATGTATATCAAAACCACGCACGAGACGCTCGACTCTCCATATATGCCGTCATTTTTGCCACACTCTCTACACCCCCTATCGCTGCCTGTTGCCAGAAAACAACATTGCTACAAACAGAAAACCAAATGTATGGCGGAAACTTGATATCTCTCAACATGCTCGTCTGCATTTTCCGCAATGCCCAGCACAGCACAGCCGGATAGAAAATCAGAGATGAGAGAAACAGGAAAAACACCAACAAAACTTCGTACTTGGCGCTTCTCTGCTAAACTCTTGAAAATGACTTCATTTACCTTGCTATATCCTGCTTTCCCCATGGCTAAGGAGACCAAGTCTAGCTACGAAATATATCACACGACACAGCACATTAACATCATAGCACATCACACAGTCCATGCCATGACGTAAAGCCGCAAGAATACCAAGCACCTAACCACTCGTTCCTACGAGGAATCCCAGTATGCCAAATGCAGCAGGGAATACGCTAAGAAACCAGGGTGTGAACTATGCAGCCATCACACAACTCCAAACATGATATTCATTAAAAATAAAACAAGGATGTGCATTCTGGGTAACGCAACATGAAGCAGCCTCTGAGAAAAATTTTGATATGTAGGTTGGTAAGGAGGTCGGTAGGTGTAGGTAAGCAGGGATGTAGATAGATGAACAAATAATGACTTTTCTACATCAGTGTCCGAACAGAGTATACACATCCCATTCTACACACCATACAATGAGTATATCTACGTCAGTGAGTCGGAATGACGTGGGAAACGAATGGAAAACCTGCTTTACCCTTTGTGTCTGATGCATGTGTTGTATTACTTGTTTTCGGTGCGTTTAGCATAGGATAGTGAGAGTCCCCCCCCCCTTTTTTTAGATTCCGACTCTGCAAGCGGGAAAGTGAGTGAGTAGATGTGTAAGTGAGAAAGTGAACCAGTAAGTAAGAAAGAAAGAAAAAGAGAGCAAGTGTCAGATCCCCCATCCGACTATAACACTCTGGCAAACTCTCACGTGCCCTCCCTCAAGTGTAGTATACAAATACCTCTGGTCGCTAGTATGCCTCACTACCGATCCGTCTCGTGAAATACTACCGCCATCTATTACCGCTATCTAGTACCTAATACTGCTAGCTATACCGCGCTACAATGTTGTGAACCTGGCATGTAATAGGAGCCTGTTGAACTTTGTCCATGTATCATCACAAGTGATCACCTGTTCTCCTTTGCGTAGAAACAGAAAATCATAAAACAAACAAACAAAAAACTAGATAGACAGGAAGATCAATAGACAGTGCACAATATCACGATAAGTGAAGAAGAAGAAGAAGAAGAAGAAGAAGAAAAAGAAGAAGAAGAAAAGGCAGGTAAAACTAATTGATACAATTGTAGATCAAATCTAATCATGCAAGACGAGTATTTCACTTTTCTCTACCTCATGTCTACATGCGAAAAATAAGGCCCACCCTTGACACACACACACACACACACACACGTCAACCCCCAAGAATACTCAAATGCACACCTCACCAAATCCTCTTAGCAACCATAGCATACCGACTAACATGGCCAAAGCTAGTTCCTCTCTCCCTCTCCTCGAGCTCCTTCTTCCTCGCCTTCTCATCTCTCTCACGCAGACGTTTCAGCGCATCAGCATCATCATCGTAAATGACTTTTCTTTTGTCGTCATCGACGTCGACGACGCCCCAGCCGCCGATGCGTTTTCCGCCCGTCTCGACGCTCATCTTTTCGCGCTCCTGCATGCCGATGTAGCGCTTGCGGCTGACGGAGAGCAGGAACATGCCGAGGATGAGCTTGAGGGCGAGGAAGACGAGGTAGCCGACGAGGAACACGATGAGCATCGTCGAGGCGGCGATGACGTCGTCGAGCGTGTAGGAGAATGTCTCGTACCAGGTTTTGGAAGGGAGGCCCGCGCCAAATGAGGAGCGGCCCAGTGCGCGCCGGAATACGTGGTCGATGTGGGCGAGGGCCGCCGTCGTAGCAGGCGACGAAGTGGTGGCTTCGGACGCGAGCGAAGTGGATGTCGCGTGTAGAGGTGGCGGCATGTGAAGCGCAATGAACATGTGGTAGGTTTGGATGGCTGCGCGGATAAAGAGACATGAAAGTGGTATGACGGGCAGTCCTAGTCTGCGTGTCAAGTCTGCATCGGCAAAGGCCTGGCCATCGTTAGTCGGTCATTATGCAAATGGGATGAGCAGGCTCACGTTGGAATAATAGTCCTTTGCTAGCACGTCGAAAAACTTGCTGTACACCTCGGGCTTGTACTGGTTAAACTTTGTAATGTACGCATGCTTCAGCCAGTCGACAAACATCTCGCTGCCCAGCACCAACAAGAATGGGTTGAGCACCTGAGCAATGTACTTGGGAAAGATGGTGAAGCTCATTGGAATGATGCTCGAGGCCTTGAATGCGGTTGCAGACGAAGCATTTGCAGATCCCGTAAACATTGCCGTCCAGGAAGTCTCACTGCTCTGGATGCTGAGACCGCCTACTTCGACAACGTTACGCATAGCAATGATGAGAAGCATGAGCCACAGCTGGAAGCGCTCAACAATGTCTGCGCATGTAATCTGGAAGAGGTTTTCCTTCTCAAACTTTTTGAACACGGTGCCCTTGATCTCGACAAACTGGTTAGACATCAACAGTGTTAGAAGAGCGTTCGAGTACGAGTTTACAGCCACGTTCAGTGTAATGACCTGGTAAAAGAGAGCAGTGGCATGGGCCACGGTGTAGACAAGGGCGAGCGAGAACATGCCAAGCGGACGAAGGACTTTACTTCTGCCGTCGGCATTGCGCTCAAGCGTCTCACGGGAAAAGAGACACTCGAGGACATCCTGACCCATTGCAGACAACAGGCGGTCGCACACCTCAAGCACGTTGTAAATGACATAGAGCTTGATAGCCGACTGTCCACGGATCCCATGGTACATGCGGCTTGCGTCGAATCGCATGAGAACGAAGCAGCTTGCAACGACGAGCAGGCCTTTGAGTATATCCGCCTTGTGGCTTGGCTGGAGCGTAGATGGCGTCGACTTTGTGCGGCGATGACGGAATCTCGAGTTTCGAGGCCGGCGCGCTTTGAGGTCTTTCAGGTCTGGGAACTTGAAGCTTGTAGAAGCGCTGGGATTCTGCCTGTTGGCCGAAGTAACGGTTGATGAAGACGACTTCCGCGACATGGACGGTGGCTCTTCGTCAGCCGGAGTAGGGTGCGGTGTAGGTGCATCGACATGCTTTCTCCTTTCCCAGAGACGAGGCAGACCATTGTAGACAAAGGCCCAGAGATCACGAAACTCCTTTACAATGACGGAGCCCCACCACTTGACCAAGATGGCAATGGCAAGCAGGAACCGCAGGGGTAGGATGGTCAAGACGTGCATCCAGGCATCCAAACAAGCAAGGGTGCCAAATCCCAGGATGCCTTCAATCTTGAATGGTATCCTCAAGAAATTGAGCAAGCGCTCGTATTTGATCTCGGAGGATTCGTAAGGGAACTCGGAGGTAGCAGGCCGGTAAATGTACAGCGGAGAGGGACGGGTGGCAGAGAGCTCGAGCGATAGAAATGTAGGCATTGACATTGGTGGCAGCGGGAGAGCGATTGGGGTGGGCGATACGTGGTCACGCATCTCGCGTGCCTCGCGGTGGCGTTCGTGGCCCTTGGACATGGCCTCCTTGTGCGGCAGCTCTATGGGCGGAGGAACATGCCTACTCTGCCTGCGCTCTTCTGTCTCTTGCAGCTGGTTGTGTGTTCGCGACCGCGATCTCGACGTGGCTCTCCGCACGAGGGCGGGCGTTGTGACGGAGCGCGCTAGAGGTATTGGCCGACCGTTGCGCAATTCGGTAGACGGGGCCTTGATGACAAGTGTCTCCTTGTCCTGGGCCAGCTCCCGGCCTCTAGGGGCCTTGTCCCTGTGTGCATCATGTGTTGTGCCATTGGTCTCGAGAGGCGGTCCCAGAACGGGTCGCTGGGGTTTTTTGTTGCCGCCCTGGTTGTCCATTGCCTCGAGTGGCGCTGCATCCTCCAGCTCGTCCTCTGGAATTGGGGTTGCCGCGCGCACGGGAATACTCGCAGGCTCGCTGGTGAGCTCGTGGATCTGGCGAGGGCTGAGCTTGAGCATCTTGTCGTGCTCCGACACGCTGCTCCTTCTGCGCCCGTCTCCAGGGCGCTTGATGGGCCGGATCTTCTCGCTAGTGTCGGATAGGATGGCGTCTTCGTGTGCACTTGGCGTCCGGCTCGTAGCATTGGAGGCGATGGCGCTGTTGGCCTCGTCCCTGGAGCCATTCGTCATGCTGTGCAATGCCTCGTCGATGCTCGCTCCATGGTTGCCGTGGGCGGTCGGGGGTGCCGCATCGGCTGGTTCGGGCGAGGGCGCGGGCGTGGGCAGCTGTTCGTTTGCGTTGACTTCACCGTGAGCCGCGGGGTCTGCTCCGTTCATGGCTCGAGGCTTTGCCCAAGTGCATCGTGTCTTGTCCGCTACTATGCTGGGTTGTAGCGACGCTTGAGAGCTCGGGCATAGGGCTTAGCGCACTTGGATCTCTGCCGAACCGGGACCCCCCAAGCATTACAGGTGCCTGAAATGGTCGTACTACCACGAGTCACGACCAACAAAGTGTAGAATTAGCCGTGAGCGCTCGTGAGGCTGGCACGCACATGCAATGTCAGTTTGGCCAAGCGCCGTTGCAAGCGGGCTTAGGCGGCGAGGCCTTGCCTATTCCTCTAGCCTGGCCATCTGAGGATGTGCACGTGACATGAGTTTGGCTTGGCCAAGGGCCGTTCTGCCTGGGCAACTCTGGACCACGACACACTACCCCTACCACTACTGTCGTCATGGGTCTATCCAAAGGCTGAGACTGTGCGCGTCTTTGACTTGCAGCTCATGCAACCTACTCCTTTTCCTGGGCCTTGTGCGCCCAATGCCCCGGCCAATCTTGGCATACGGCCTACAATAATATTGTAGGTTTCCGTATCGTGTCTCAGTACGGGTGTGCAAGACGAAGCAGTTGGTCTTGAGCATGCTATATGCGGCAAAAGGTTGACAGAGGCCAGATAACCTGGACGAGCAGAAGACGATGGGCGTAAGCGGTTCCCAAGCATCTCGCACGCGAAACCAATCGGATGTGCACGTCTTTTGCAAAATGCAGGGGAAACAAGATGCTGACAGCTCCGTATTGTATGGAGAAGGCCTTGAGGATTTTAGTAGTTGATGCACGCGGCACGTCCACCTACTTGGGCATCAACGGAACAAAGGCCGTTTGCTTTTCGGGGCTTTGTCAGAAGCAATCCCCATGGTCCTGCAATACGACTTGGAGTTAGCGCATCTGCATCCACTGCCCTACATACGGAAGCGATTTTATGGGTCGCCTCGTGCTGCATCCTTGCTCCCATCTGCCACGAGACAGGATGTCAGAAGAAGCGGTGTGTGCATGTGCATGCAATTAAACCTACATGTCAATGTCGGACTAGGTCAGCCCGCTTTGGGGACATGTCTCTGCACGCGTGTCAATGCATCCGTCGTACCGATGACATGTCCAGTCCCCCAGTGACAGTGCCAAAACGTCCATGTTCGGGTCGTACCGCGCGTGTCCAGACAAGGGTGTGGCAGTCTGCGCCGAGAACCCAAGACACCATGGCCACTTGGCGTTTGCCCTTCTCTCTGGCCTGGGGGATAAAGGGCGCGCTGTGTAGCAACAAGCCAGTTGCACTTCCTCATCGCATACGCATCCCGGTGAGAATGGACATGCCATTTGGGTCAATGGATGCAACGCCAGATGCTTCTCCACATAAGCCGTTATTTGCTTTTACGGGCCATGCCCTTGTGTTTGTCAGCCCCAAGTTCCAGAATACATGACGATGTACACACGGCTGCCGATTCGGCCGTGTGCCGTGCAAAGATCAGCTTCAGGCTTACCAGTGCCAGGCCATACGCGTGCTGTCGTGGTACAAGCATCGCATCCATTGTCTGTCAACTCGTGTTTACTGGGATTCTTACATGTACAGCTTACGTGCATGTGGCGGACGCGGTGCATATGCACACAAAGCAATGTGAGTACACACGTGACTTTTGCATGGGTTGGACGACAGCGACCGTGCTTGGCAGTTGGGCATGGCGACGTCTGGTGTGCGTCTGGAGGTCACCCATGACGGCGACGGGAACCGATAATAGGCCATGTTGCAGCGCAAAGTTGTTCCGAGCCGCCAGATCTGGGGAGAATAAGGCGGCAGCATGGTGTGGTGCGGTGCCGACGACGCTAACTCGAGACAGAAGGGCTGCACCCGGGTGGGGACAGAGCCCAGGCAGGTGGTGACAGCTGTCTCAGGCCGGGGAACGAGGTGGTGAGGTGCATACTTACACATACATATGCATAGGGGCGTCCATGGCATGGAGCAGTCGATGAATCCATGAGGGCATGCCGGCCAGTAAGACGCTGTGTGGCACGGGCACTATATCGAGGCTGCAGATGAAGGAAGCGGTGTAGCCAATGGCGCGTGCCCAAGACAAGCCAGAGCCCGTCAACGTCACACTGTCGCAGATTGAGGCCTCAGGTGTTGGGGCGGCATGAATCGCAAAGCGTTGGTGGTGGATAGAGGCACGACCGGGACTAGTTTCAAGCAACGCTCATTTGACTCGGCCGACGTGTGTGAAGCTACCGCAACCGGGCTATAGAGGCTAGAGACCAGAGGCCCGGGATATGGCAGTGGATAGCCGCTAGGTACCGCTCTGCTGGAGAGCGAGGGACATGTATGCAGCACGTGGCTGTGGCTGTGGCACCAATCAGTGGCCAGCCATCCACTTGCACTTGTAGCGCACAGGCTGTGGCGCAGCTGCGTACTACCAAGTAGTTGGCTTGTGGCTGGGCCTCGTCGCCAGCTAGAGGCCATCTAGATGCCATGCCCTATCGACGCTTCTTCAGCCCTCCTCAACCACGCTGGCACTGGCGCACACACTCGGACAAGCGGGACATGGCGTGGGCATGGGCGTCGTGGATGAGGCTGAGCATGCTACCACTACAGGACATATGCACGTGGCTGCATAAGCCAGCTGAGGGCCGCGTGGGTTAATGTCCGTAGGCAGGCGAAAAGGGGAAGTCTTCTAGAACGAGTCAACTGCTTAGCCGAGCGTGCGGCCGGCCGGGGTTCGGACACATGGAGCGCCAGCACATGGCATTGCGCAGAGGCATCTTCGTCAGTGCAGTGTGTGGCCGGCTGTTGTGGGACTCGACATTACGTATGGGCCGCCCGGATAGGCAACACGGCATGAAGCCATGGAACGAGGTGGATTCACGGACCGAAAGACAATTTTTTTTTTTTGCGGCCAGATTTTTTTGGCAGTAAACATGAAACTGTTGACCGGTGGCGAGGTTTTTTTGGCGGCCACGATGGCGTAGAGAGAGAGAGTGTGTGTACTAGGCGTACTACATAGGTGTAGTGTATACTAGACGTGGGCTGGATGGGCCAGGGGTCAGGGCCACGGACTAGCGCAGGTCCTTGCGGAGAAGGCGTGCGGAAAGCAAAAGCAGCCAAGACGACGTGTTCGTTCTGGAGCGGATTTGGGTTTGGAGAGACGACGCGGTGCTGGGGGAACAGCCGTCGTGGCGTGCATTGCCCGTCGTAACCGTGACATGTGAGGATGCACATGCGTCGGGGCGCGCGGGCCTGGGCAGAGCATGTGTGTACGTACGTACGTACATGTCCATGTATCATGTATGTATACTTGGTGGGTGTCCATGCAGCGACGGGTGGTTGCACACGGCATGGGCGTACATGTCGTATAAGAAATACCACCTGTCCTGGGATCAGAGGCGCTGGCGGGCTAGCGGCGGGCGACTCTGAGACTGCGTTTGCGAGCAGCAGAAGGCGGATGGAACAAGCTTGGAAGAAGCATCAGAGGCATCCAATCGGGCCTTGCTCCACCAGGCGGAGCGTGGGAGCGACAGGGAGACGAGGGACAATATCGGCGACATGTCGACGAGCCGGCGTCAGAGGTCGACGATAGGCGGGCGGGCAGCTTTAACCTTTGGACAGCGTCTAAGCCTAATGGAGGCGCGAGTGGAGAGGGGAGCGGTTGGTTGGGAGGGGAGGCGTCTCAGGACATGCACATGGAGCAGATGCCGATCGGCGCGGGAGCAGTTGGCCGTCATCTCGCATCGCGCAGGCCCGGGAGGGGGTGGATGTGCATGTGCATGTACGTGGTAGTGGTGATGGTGGTGATGGTGGTGGTGGTGGTGGTGGTGGTGCGGCGTGCAGGCGGTATGGGGTATGTAGCTGTGGGCGTGGGGGGTTTGGTGGTGGTTTGGTGGTGGAGGTGGAGGGTGCATGGGGGCTGCCATCCACTCGTCGTCACATGGCGGGCCAGGGCTGTCTAGAAGCAGCCACCGTCAGCGAGCTGTCGCTTGTTGCTGTCGTCGTTGTTGTTGTGATATCGTCGCGTCCGGCTATAGCAGAGGACGGATGGTCGACTATAGGTGCGGTGCATCAATGCAGCCATCAGCGCAGCACCACCTCCACCACCTCCACCACCACCAGCAACAGCCGCGTTTGCCATGCGGGGCGTCTGGCTGGACTGGCTCTGCTACCACAGGCGCGCCCATGGCAAGGCATGGCAAGCAAGGATGCGACTCAAAACGTGTAACCCATGCCATTGCCTGTGCGTTGCTTGCGCCCTAGTGCTGCCGACACTAATCTGCCTTTGGCCACGACCTGCGAATCGTGCGTCTTCAAACCCGTCGGGCCTCCTTTCAACTTCTTGTTCATTGCCTGCGACACGCCCGCTGCCGCTGCCGCCGCCGCCGCCGCTGTCTGCCCATCTGCCAGCCTGCTTGTGCCTTCATAATCCCCAGCTTGCCCGCCGCCCATCACCGCCCTCGCCCGCTGCACCTTCGCCGTGCCAGCCTCCCCCAGTTGGCCTCTCGCTCGCTCCCCCCCCCCACCACCACCACCACCACTGCGACGCCGCCCCCGCCGCCTGATGCATCGCTAGACCTGCACTCCTTCTGCCCTGTCCGCCTGCAACGCTGCCTGCCGCCCATTGTAGCCCCCCATGGGTCAGAGCAACGGCAAGCCCGTCGTCTTCACCGACCAAGGTGCGTTGTCTGTCCTGCAAGCATGAAAATAGTCTCGACAAGAGGAGGATCACATGCTCGAGCGTGAGCGTGGGAGAAGGCGAGAGAACGTGAGAGAAAAAGCCAGAGTGCGCGCGAGAGAGAAACAGAGCAAGAGACTGGGAAGATGCCCGTCCTGTGCAGGCAAATTTGGAACACGGGCCCGCGCCCATGTCCATGCCACGCCTGGGGCACGGGAAACACGCACACACACACACACACTGTTCGTGCAAGACCAGACTAACCATGCACCAGTCAACCTCAACCACTTCCGCCTCCTACGCGTCGTCGGCAAGGGCGCATTCGGTAAGGTGCGCATCGTTGAGCGAAAAGACACCGGCCTCACGTTCGCGCTCAAGTACATACGCAAAGATGAAGGTCGGTCTGCACATGCTCGCCGCCTACTAGGCAGGGGGCCCAGCCATGCTGACCTTGTGTCACAGTCGTACGGTCGGAAAGCGTCCGCAACATTATCCGCGAGCGCCGCATGCTCGAGCATCTCAACCACCCGTTTCTCTGCAACCTGCGCTACAGCTTCCAGGACATTGAATACCTGTATGGCCCCTCGCCCCGCTCGCCCCAGACACGACGCTGACCACGCCAGGTACATTGTCGTCGATCTCATGAACGGCGGTGATTTGCGCTTCCACATCTCGCGCAAGACCTTCACAGAAGACGCCGTGCGCTTTTGGATAGCCGAGCTCGGTTGCGCCGTGCGCTACATACACCAGCAGGGCATTGTCCACCGAGACATCAAGCCAGACAACGTTCTGCTCGACTCGGAAGGCCACGTCCATCTTGCAGACTTTGTAAGCTCTACATGTAACCCTATGCCCCTCCCCTGCCTGCTTGCTGACACCCTCAGAACGTTGCCTCCGACTTCACACCCCACAAGCCGCTGACGAGCAAATCGGGCACCCTCGCCTACCTGGCCCCCGAGGTATACGAAGGCAAGGGCTACTCATGCGAGGTCGACTGGTGGTCGCTGGGCGTGCTCTTCTACGAGTGCATATACAACAAGCGGCCCTTTGAGGCCAGCAGCCATGACTCCCTCGCCGCCAAAATCTCCAAAGGAGAGCCTACGTATCCCGTCACCAGCCCGCCCGTCTCGATGCCCTGCCTACATGCCATCAGCTCGCTGCTGGAAAAGGACCGGAGAAAGCGCATAGGTGCCATTGGTTTCGACTCGTTCATCGACAACCCCTTCTTCCGCCCCATCGATTTTGGTGCGCTCGAGCGCAAGGAGATTGAACCCATCTTCATACCCTCGAGCGACAAGACCAACTTTGACGCGACGTATGATCTCGAGGAACTGCTGCTCGAGGAGGCGCCGCTCGAAGCCCGTGCACGCAGGCAGAAGCCCAGAGAAGCTCTCAAGGAAGATGCTACAGAACAAGAGATCCGCGCCGACGAACTGCACCGGATGATTGAGACTCTGTTTGAGCCTTTCAACTACACGACTGCTGGCGACCAACGAATCCCAGCTGCCGTAGCAGTTCCTGATCCACAAGACTCGGGCGCAGGCTCGCGAGCCAGCAACCAAAGCCAGCCTGACCACGTCCCCACGTCTGCGCCAGCCCAAGGAGAACCCTCTAGACGTCCACCACACGTCAACACAAAGTCTCAGGATGTCGACCTCCACCCCTCGCGCTCCACCACAACTGCACGATCGACACAATCACCAAACGGCAGTCCTCCTCTTGCCACGAGCATCCTTCAGCAGACTGCAAACAACGGCTCTCCTACATCGCAACGCGGTGAGCGTGCCGACTACTTCCCCGCCGACGGCGCCGACGTCCCCACACCCTCGTTCTCCCGACCCATGAATAACCGCCAACGAGGCTCACAACGCAGCACAAGCATGGGTGGAGGCGTACAGGTAGTTCTCAACGAGACAGGTTCATGGACCGATATGGCTAACCAGAGCTCCGCGCTTGTACAGAACGCCCAAACTGAGAAACCATCTGGCATGCTCGGTTTCCTCAGCCGCAAAAAGGGCCGGGACAGGAGCCCCAAGGCAAAAGAAAGAGGCGTCCTAGGTAAAGAGGGCGCCCGAGTCATCATCAGCAACACCTGAAGGGCCTTTTTTTCTTCTTTTTCAATTCTTCCGCCGCGCATTACACGTTGGGCTCACGCTCCATATCCGGCCCAAGCGCTCAACGAGTCCCCTTGAGTCAGTCTCTTATCCGGTTCCAAGTCGATGTTTTCATTCCGGGGGGCGCGGCGTGCTGGCGTCTTCCAGGGCATGCTTAGATATATGCCCCGATTCCTCTTACCAACGACTCTGCGACGCTTTGGGCATATATTGCCTCCTCTCTCTCTCTCCGACATTTTTGTTGCATTTCACATTTGCATACCCCGGCGACAACCTGGGGAGGAAAGGGCGTGAGAAATTGGGCGTTGCCGGATATTTTGCTTGTCCATTTTTTTCTTTGTCGACTTTTCCTTCTCTTAACCCTTTTTTACTCTAGTTTTTTATTTTATTGATGCGAGAATTATGCTGGGATGGAGTGGGATGAAGACTGAAAGGAGTGTAAGGAAGACAAGGGGGAAGGAGGGTGAGGTCCCTCGCAATCACATACGAGTCCCCGATAGAGAGACAGGGAAAGGACTTCTTTCACGAAGCCACACGGTGGGATCATATATACCTGGTTGGTATATGGGTGGGTAGGGGAATATTGGTGATGAAATGGGATACTAGTGTCGTAGTCGTAGTCGTATTAATGGGGTGGGCGAACCAAAACCAACCCATTTCAAGAGAAAAAGCGAGAGTCATTGACACTTTTGGCTTTTATTCCTCACTTCACTCTGATTTGTTTCCATTTGCATATCTGATGAAATCATAGCCTATGTTCGTGATTAATTACAACATTCAATCTCTAACCTTGTATTTTTCTCTAGGTACAGAGACTGACTGTCTTTTTTTTCAAGGCTAAATAGTTGGGATTCTAAATGATAAAGGATGAGATATGAACATCTTTTTTTTTAAAAATTTTTTTTTGGTTTCACTGCAATTAGAATCAGATCAGTGTCACTCCTGTAAAACAGAAAAATAATACATTAATAAAGTTGATTTGACAGATTATATGTAAGTAAGAAGAAAATTATAAAAAAATAGAATAGAGGAAGAGGAAGAGGAAGATGTGGTTGAATGATCCATCTCAGCCAAGAGACGTACTTGGAAGTAAAAAGTAACAATTTCAAGTAAGCACTCACAGTAAAAGGTCTGCAATATGCAAAAAAAACAAGCTTTATATTCACAAGCGTGGAAAAAGAATTACATCACTTAAGCACTTGATTTGTACTCCTTAGCTTGATCTATTTTTTTTTTACTTTGTTTGCTTGCTATGGGACTTGTGGTTATTGTATGTAGAAGGAAGTATATATATATATATTCATGTTTGTGTGTGTATGTGTGATATAAGTGGGTATATAAGATATGATTTAGATATTCTCCTTACACCACACTACATGTTCTACTTTACTTCCGCTTCTTCTTCTTCTTCATTTCATCAAGCCATCATATGTATCGAACCTACACCAACACCAATACTAACAATTACAATTTCCAAACAAGACGCTCGCGTGCGGAAAACAAAAAAAAACACACGCATACTGAATACAATACCAACAGCAACGAAAAAAAAAGATAAGATGAAACTTGGGAGAAGAAAATGATATTTCGGGTATCGAGTTAAATAAACGCCATTTTCTGTTTCTAACACATCGTCCTCTCAGACTCGCATGATAATGTGCCTTTCACATACTTCCACCCTCTGTCAGTCTTTTCTCATACAATCAAAAAACTAAAAAAAAAACTAAAAAAACTCGGATACAAACATTAACAGGATACAAAATAGGCAATGGGCTCATCGAGGCTTAATGTTAGAGCGAGCGAGCCACAATGCCACGCTCTCCTTTGCCACGTCGCTGCCCCAGACGCCATCTGCGCCTCCTCGTCGCCATTCCTCGCCAGAAGCGTCTTCGCCACCTCCACGTGTGGCCTCGCCGAGCAGGACCTCGAGATCGCGCTTTTGGCTTGAGAGCCAGCGCTTGAAGAAGGCAACTGGGTCCTTGGACATGCTGGTGAAAAAGGCATGCTTTGCCTTGGATTGGCCTATGGCACCCATCAAAAGTACCAGTTGCTCGTCAATCTTTTGAATCTCCTGCAGCGTCTGGATACTGTCTGGTCGGCGCAAAATATCCTGGAACAGTGGCTGCATCGGGTCCTCGAGCGCTACCTGCACATCGTATACAGTTGGTTGGAAAGGCGTCTTGCCTGAGTCGGTCGGTGGCGAGATATAGTCCTTGTCGACGCGAATCGTGTATTGCAGTTGCATGGGCGGGAGTGTGGTGAGGTGCGGCTTGATGAGTTGAGGCAGGTTCGGAAAGAAGAAGTGGTCCTGGCCGCCAAATAGCGCCTTAAGCCTGGCGTCGCATGCAAACTTGCGCTCGTCATCTTCCTGCTGCAGATGTTGCGACCGCGCATACTCCCAAATGCCCATGAGCACACCCGCGCGGTCCTCCTCATCGGTATCGAGCAGCTCGGCCAGAGGTTTGCTCAGGCGAAAGACCTCGGGGTTCTGGTATCGCTGAAGATTGATTGTGATGTTGATGTTCTCGTCGCCCTTGCGCTCAAACTCGAGTTCGCTGAAATTAGCCTCCTTGGCAGTAGGATTCTCGGGCCGCTTCCACTCGATCTGCGTGAAGTTGTCGGGCTGTAAACTCTTGGCGCGGTCGAAATCGATATTGATGGATGTGAAGTAGTGCGAGAAGAGCTTGGGTTTCGCGGCGGGCTTGCGCTCGGCGGCGGCTCCATCTTGGTCCCTAGTCGCTCATTAGTCCTGACCTTAATCGCACGTGTGTGTTGCATGCGCGACTCCGGAGGCGCAAAAGTCGCGCGCGCAGAGCTGCGGCTGCAAGCTGGACCAGACGTACATGGCATCGGCATCCTTATCGTCGTCGTCGTCTTCGTCGTCTTCTAGACCGTCGTCGCCTTCCTCGTCCAGCAGGCGGCCCTGGATCTTGACGCGGTACGTGGCGTTGTTCTCGCTCTCAAAGTCAAAGGCGTCGGCATCGATGCCGCTGCTCTGCCACGGCTGGTTCTCGGCCGTGTTGGATATCCATATGCGCATGGTGCCGTAGCGCGAGGCGCGCGAGTGGTGCTTCGAGTCCATGACATCGAGCTTCTTGCGCATCATGGTCGCGTCGAGGGTGCGCTCGACGTCGCGCAATTCGCGGTAGCGGGCCACGCCGTCGCCAATGCAGACATCCTCGACGCCCTCGGGGATGTTCTTGTCGGTCGGATTCTTTGCGATGCGGCGCATCTTCTCGCGGCGCTCGGCCTCGGCGCGCTGCGAAGCCTGCATGCTGGCGTTTGTGTTGTACGGGGGCTGGGCGGGCGGGTGCTGGGGGTGGACAATGGGGCCTGGGTTGCGGAACAAGTGAGCGAGGTCGTTCCTGCTAATCATGGTCTGGTCTCGGGGGCGCAAACGGCGGCGGAGGGCGGGCGTCGGGGTGAAGGGGAGGGTGCAAGTGAAAACAGTGGTGTGGCACGCTGTACTGACCTGGGCGGCGGGACGGCGTAGCTGCATTGTGCTGTTGCGGATAATTATATCCCCGTGCCTGATAGTTCGGTTGCATGGTGCGAAGGGGAGGGCAGATGAACGGCAGCAAGAGTCGCGATGAGGGCGCGTCCGGGGCGATGGCGGGTGGGCAGGATGGAAAGGTCACGTCCTTGCAGACGCGTCAAGGTTGAGGTTAGGTACGTACTACATGCTGCACGGATACTGCTAGCTCCCCCTATAGCCATGCGGGGCAGCCAAACCAGCCCCCCACTACCACCACCAGCCAGCGAGGCGCGCGCCGCCGGGTGCTTGCTGGTGCTGGCGCTGGTGCTGGTGCTGGCGCAGTCGCGATGCAGCCTCATGGCGCCTGAAGCCATGCGTGCCATGGCTGGCGCTGGCCTCCGAGCCGCCTGTCCTGCTGTCGTCGGCGCCCGTCTTCATTCACTGCCCGTGCATCGTGCTTGGCGGCCCATACCCACGCCCACTTGGGGAGGCTGTCTGCACATCGTCCCCCGGGCCCCCCTCCTCATGCCCCCCTCCTGCCGCTGTCCTCTGCTTGCTGCCCCCCCGGGAACTTGCCATTTACAACCAGCCGTCCAGATACCCGCGCCCGGTGAATAGACGCAGAAGATGGATGCCGGCACACGGGGCAGCCCACTGAGCAAGATCACCAACGTCCGCATACCCTACCAGCCGCCATCATCGCTCTGGGACATCTCCCTCCACGACGGCCGGATCGCCTCTGTGGATGCCCATGACAGTGCCTCGCAGACCGGGGGCGAGGGCACGCTAGATGGAGGCAACCGCCTGCTCGCGCCATCCCTCTGCCATGCCCACATCCATCTCGACAAGTGCTTTCTCCTCCAGGACCCCAAGTTTGGCGACCTGCAGATTGAGAGCGGCGACTTCAACGAGGCCATGGACATGACGGGCAAAGCCAAATCCCGGTTCGACCAAGAGGATCTGCTGAGGCGGGGCACACGACTCATTGAAGAGAGCATCCAGCACGGCGTCACCGCGATGCGGGCATTCGTAGAAGTGGACGGCGTAGTGGAGCTCCAGTGTCTGCATGCCGGTCTGAAGCTCAAGGACGCTTTCCGAGATCGGTGTGAGGTGCAAATATGTGCATTCGCCCAACTTCCCCTGTTTTCTGGCCCGGACCACGGTGCGCAGGCAAGGGCGTTGATGAGCACCGCTGCGTCTTTTGAGAACGTGCATGTGCTTGGGAGCACGCCGTACGTAGAGGACAATGAAGCAAAGTCCAAAGAAAACGTACGATGGCTCACTCGATTAGCACTCGAACAGGGCAAGCATTTGGATCTCCATCTCGACTACTTCCTGGAAGAGGAGAAATCACCTCTGGTCTGGAGCGCCCTGGAGATATTCCGAGAACTGCAGTGGGATAAGAAAGGCGTCAGCAAACAGATTACACTGGGACACTGCACCCGGCTGACGAGGTTCCGGAACGATGAGTGGACGCATCTGAGACAAGAAGTAGACAAGCTGCCCGTCTCTTTTGTTGGACTTCCGACTTCCGACCTGTTTATGATGCGGACGCCAGAGAATGTACGCGGGACATTGCCCATCACTGAGCTTATCAATGAGCATGGCTTCAATGCTGCCATTGCCATCAACAACGTAGGCAACGCATTCACTCCCTATGGGAATTGTGATCCGCTGGTACGAAGTGACGCCATATGGTCCAAGGCGTCAAAAGCTGACCTCTTCTCAGTCGATAGCATCTTTGGGGGTCGGCCTGTATCAGGCTGGGACGAAGAAAGACGCTGAGCTGTTATACGTGAGCAACCATTTCCCTTCCTTGAGTCCTGAATGCTGCCACTGACCATTCCCACCCTGCAGGAAACCGTGTCAACCCGCGCAAAGGCGGCCATTGGGTGCGAGTCTACTGATTTAGTTCTGAAGCCTGGACAGCCTGCCGACTTTGTCATGTTCGATAGAATGGACAGCGGGTGGCACTGCAGGAAGAGCGTGGCAGAGGTGGTGTATGATGCTGGACATAGCCGTCGAACCATTTACAGGGGGCGAGTGACGTCTTTGAATAGTTGATATAGAGTTTACGCCCAGCCCCTACGTGATAGCATAAACCATCTTTTCTCCTCTGTTTTTCTCATCGACAGCAGCATGATCGCAAACACGGTCACTAGAGTATGCAAACACTATACTCTGGGCGTACTGACTGCTGATGTTGTCTTTGTCTGCTGCGTGCGCAGCCAATGCAGCCCTTCCCTGCATGCATCGTGACTGCCTTCTGTCACTCAGTGGCGCCAAGTAACCGTGCCCGTGTTACTGTGCAAACAATCCACCCAGTCTCTCACCTGCACATTGCCGCTCACACTGTACAATCACCGCGTGCGCCGCCAGCCTTGTTCACTGCGAGGCGGCAGGCATACCAGCCCACGTGGTCCTCACCTTCACTTCACTGATAAGCGCCTTCTCCTACTGGACTCGCCTATTCCATCGTTGAGCACAAACACCACGAGCTGGTTGAAATAGCCATAGTTACATCACTGCCACGTGGTTAGCCTCAACTGATATCCTTATCACACTGCTGCAACCAGCATCCGCTCGCCGCGCCTCGCCCGACCGGCTCACCACCATGGATGCCCCAGACAGCTATGCGGTGCATCGCACTGCGCCACAGTCGCCGGCTCAGGAAGTGGTGGAGCATCAACTGGCGATTCGCGCTGAGCCAGAGCAGGGGGGGCTTGAGCAGGGGGGGCTAGAGCAGGTGTATTCTTCACACCAGCCACCTAATCTTTACCAGCTCGTCTACAAGTTTCTAGACAACATCAAGGTACGCTATTGCAATCGACTGACATCTCTCGCGCATCCTATCACGGCCCGCGTTTCACCGACTTGGCTAACCCGTGCAGCTTCGATTCGGAGAAGACTCGTTTGAGGTGACGTCGATTTGGGATGCTCTCGCCGAGTTTCGAGCATCAAGGAAGTCTAAGAACGACACCCTTGCCATCATCGAATTCTCACTGAGCAATCACAACGACCTCAAGCGGGATCTTAGGGATGTATTGTTTCATCCGGAAGCACTCCAACGGCCAAGCATATTTGATGTTGGCTCCGATCAAGCCATTCAGCTACCCGCTCCGCAATTCTTACAGCCAGTCCATCAGCCCCAGATGTACCTGCCCACAGGCTCATGGTACCAAGACAGACAAAACTATCCATTAGCCAACCTCAGCAATGGCCAGCCATGGTCTTCTGGTGCACCCAATCTGCTGCCCAATCATGTACAATCGTTCGCAGCCAACTACCCCGACACCTCTGCTCATTACGACCAAAGTCACGCGCCTCAAGCTACGTTTCAGCACACAGTAGCAACCTCGATGAATAGTCCGTCTATCCTTGGTGTCCCAACTGCTGTACCCATCGGCCAAGCCTTTGATGAGATGCCTGCGACTCCGGATCACCACCATGGAGTCATTGGAGACGAAGTCTCGCAAGAAGCCACAGACAGCCAAAGCCCTGAGAGTGCTAGCCAAGTGTCGGTATCTCATACAAACATGGCCCCGCCAACTGTTCCACTTCAGCCGAAGAGTAAGGCCCAAGCGAAGCAATCGCAGCCAGATAGCGCATCAGGACCCTACATTCATGGCCTATGTGGCAAAGGCTTTTCCAGCAGATCAAGGGTCAAGAAGCACCACTGGGGATATAGACTCGATGATTTAGATACGACAACTGGCTGTTGGGCGAAATACGGGAAGCCGAACGTTAACTGGAATGATCATCCGAGCTGTAAAGAAGGTACAAAAGTCTTACATCAGGCTAAGAAGACGAGTCGGACTACAGCCAAGCAGGAGGAGCTTCAGGAACAGCCTAAAATGGCGCCTCCGACGTCTACCCTCCAAGACCTTTCGGGAAGCGCCCCGCCCACGTCTATTCTGCATGAAGATCATCAAGATGCTTCCCAAGACATGGGCTTCTACCACTCACAGCAACCGCCTAGCCAGTCCAGTTTCGACAGCCTGCTTAGTGCTGTGAATGTCGCCTCTCGAATTGATGCGCCACAGCCGCAAGAGCCCATCCACTCGGTAGTCTGTCACCTTGATGCTCAAGCGGCTGCTGCAGAGAATAGTAGACAGTACGTGACTGATTGGCAAAACGCCTCGACGGGCAATGGCGAAGAAGCTGTCGCTATGGATCAGCATCACGTATACAGCACAGCAGATCTTGGGACAAGCTATCCACTAGGCGGCTTTCATGTGCCTTTGGAAGTAGCTCTACCCATGTCTGGCGGAAGTCATGTGCATACATCCTCGATGTATTCTCCTAGAAGTGGAAACTGGATCGGCAATCATGTCAGCACGTTCGACGGCAGTACACAGGACAGCCGCGCGCCTCCCGACCTGCCTGCACCTGTGTCCCCTGACCCATATGAAAGGAGCCGAGAAATCTAGGGCACCCAGCTCTTGTCAGGGACTTGGGCATCTGCTCGGAAGGACCGACTTGGGCGAACCGCTTTGTTTCCGGGGTGAGGCGGGTCCACCGATATTATTGCAGCACCGAATGAACGCACGGGTACGTACAGGACAATGTCGATGATGGAGGAAATACCATGGCCTGCGTTTGGACGGCTAGACGCGCGTACTGTGTGGGCAACGAGCACCAGCAAGCCTCAAGGTAGAACAGCTGAGCCCAGGAATTAGTAAAGAAATGTATGTCAGGCTACTAAATCCTTCAGAACTCTGCTTCGCATGCTACTTGGTGAAGATGACTTTACTCGACAGCTAAGGCTGCAGCCCCGCGGCAGAAGACAATACAACAAGCGCCAGGCTGCGGCAGGATTGCTACAAGCAGTATACGCCCCGGGATTGTGTGGTATGTACACACAGCTGCTAACCATGTGGCATGGTCAAGCTTCCACGCACACGGGTAAGCTCATGAACAGGGGGCGATGCAAGGCCCTGGGGCCCCAACAATTCTCCACAACTTTACCCAAGCTGACCCCATGGCCCGCCGCCTGTCGAGGCACGGCATCATGTTTCTCCGCGATTTCCCGCCAATCGTGACTTTTGCCGGTGCCTTTTGGGCTGGTGGTCCCGGCATATGTAGTGAGATTATTCAAGCGTGGTTTTTGGAGCTATGACGACCGGGGGGAGGAAGCGTGCAAGGGAGCTGCACCACGACACCGTGATACCCAAGGCCTCTGCCCACGGGTGCCATTGCGAGCGGCATGGACACACAGCAGCCTTTTGCACGACGCCAATGCGATGGCAGTCGGTGTGCGAGGCTCCTGCGGCGAAAGCTGGCACCCTCCCATGTCGTCATTTGTCAAGTGGCTAAGGGTGACAAGGACGTCGTGCTGCGGGGAAATGCACGTTCGCTGCCGTCAAGCGGTGGCCCACTCCACCCCCCCAGCACAATCCCGTTGGCGCTATAACCTGGAGGCTGGAGAGGGGAGAGGGGAGAGGGGAGAGGGGAGAGACAGAGGGTGAAAGCGAGCGGGAAAGCATCCTAGTCGCAAGTCCGTGACCAGGTAATTGCGCCGGTGGTTTTTCCCATGGGTACTATATAACCCTCCCTCTACCTCGCTCTGCCACGGTGCTCGTCTCCACATCACATCACATCAACTCCACTTTTCAACTCCTTGGAGATTGACTAGTCACGATGCGGTTCTCCACGGTTCTCCCAATCTTTGCTGCCTCTGCCCTCGCGCAGTATAGCTCTGCGCCGCCAGACAACTCATCTTGGAGTGCCGGTCCTGACAAGGACGGCAAGTACGAGATCTCGTCCGAGGGCATTCGCGGTCACTTCATTCCTTACGGCGCGTCCATTTCCAACCTGTTTATTGCAGACAAGAATGGCGTTGAGCGCGACGTCGTGCTTGGCTTTGACAATGCCACGGCCTACGAGGGCAAGGTCCACCCCCATTTCGGCGGTGTACCTGGCCGCTACGCCAACCGCATCAAGAACTCGACCTTCACCATTGACGGCCAGGATTACCACATTACGCCAAACGAGAACAACGGCGCCGACACCCTGCACGGTGGTCTGGATGGATGGGACTGGCGCAACTTTACTGTTGTTGCCCACACCCAGGACTCGATTACCTTTTCCATTGTCGATCCCGATGGCAAGGAGGGTTTCCCCGGTGAGGTCATTAGCTACGTGACCTACACCATGACTCCCCACACCTGGAACATCAAGATTATTGCTCTTGCAACGACCAAGAAGACGCCTATTATGCTGACTTCCCACGTGAGTATATGAGTTTGTGCTCTGATCGACATGGTGCTGATAAAATTAGGTTTACTGGAACTTGGACGGTTTCGGCAACCCCGATGATGACACCATTCTGAACCACACGCTCCACCTTCCCTACTCTGGCCAGCGTATTGGTGTTGACAACATCCTCATTCCCAATGGCACTATTCTCCCCAACAAGCAGTACTCGGTCAACGACTTCTGGTCCGCCCCCAAGAAGATTGGCGCCAACCAGACTGCGCCCGAGCTTCTTGGCGAGTGCGGTTACAACTGCACTGGTTATGACACGTGCTACCTGGTCGACCGCAGCGACGCCGCCACGCTCGACTGGCGCAACTCTGGTCCTGTTGCTACCTTGGCCAGCGAGTGGTCCGGCATCCAGCTGGACGTCTACTCCGACCAGGTCGCTTACCAGATGTACAGCTGCCCTGGACAAGACGGTAAGAAAATATCCCTGGCATTTAATTTACGAGTGCAAACTAACACAATCACAGGTACAATCCCCATCAAGTCTACCCAGGGTGCCAAGGGCGGCAACCAGAAGGTGCCCAAATACGGCTGCGTCGTCATGGAGGTCCAGGACTGGATCGACGCCATCAACCAGCCCGAATGGATGCGCGCCGAGAAGCAGATCTACAGCCCTGCAGGCCCTGCATTCACTCTCTACGCCGAGTATGTCTTCTCCACGAACAAGTAGCTCGGGAGGAAAAGCGCTGGATAAAAAGAGAAACGATACCACAAGTGATAGTATAATGCGCGCTTTACTAGACGCTTTAATGATAATAGAAGCTGCGGCTTCATATCGGATATGTCGTGTGTTCTATATTGCAAGTGAGTCTCAGGCAGTGCTGGAATCGTGATGTTTGCTGTTACTTGAACTGCAAGATGTGTTGTGCATGTTGGATCAGTTGTTGGACGCTGACTAACAAAGCGGATGTGCAATGTAGTAGGGCTCACGTTGGGAAGCAGTACTTACTTACGGTGTTTTACCTTAGACGTCGTATACCAAGTAAGTACTATCCCATACTCTTGATCTGTAAGCGGTACACCCTTGAACAAACATAAGAAACCGTTCGGAAAAAAAAGAGTTTGCATGAATAACTCCAGCTAGTAGTAGTAGCACACTCTACTCTCACTTGCCAACTTGGCTGCGAACACCTCGGCATTCTACCATGCTTCCAGGCAATATCCATGCCACTCCCATCTCCCAGCTCCCACCGCAACTTCCCCATGACAAAACCGCAAGTCCAAACCGCCAGCCGCCGGACCGCGCTTTCACCTTCACTTTTCAGTGCGTAGAGGGAGGGGGGGGAGGGCAGGCAAAGCAAACCGCAAGAATGGGCGTTAACTTGACAACTCACATTATCTTCTTTGACGGCTCGGGACAACCCCGTCGCAGCTCTTTGCACATAACTTTGCTTCTTTATCATTGCGCAGACATACAACAACGTTTACACGACAAGACTTTGTCATTTATACACTATCGCTAGCACTACCAAAGCACCCAGCACCACGCACCATCCATGGACCCCACACGGGATGCAAACGAGTATCCGTTCAGTTACGAGGATGACGATGACGACGACGACGACGATGACCCGGCGGCACCACCGCCAGATATTCACTCGAAGCTGAGAGCCCTGCCTACGCATCGCAGTAACAAGACTAAAGTGCGCGGCCTGGAGCGCATGATCAATGCCGGTGACGTGCTGCATCGCGTGGTGGGCGAGCGCTCCGCCGAGCCGTTTCCCGCGCCGCCGGCCATGCCTGTGGGGCTGGAAACAGAGTTGTTGGAGGGGCTGCAGGAGTACGGGTTGAATGCGGAGAGGATGAAGAGGGAGGAAGAGGAGAAGGAGAAGGAGGCGGCATCGCGTGTGCCGTGTGAGGAAGAAGAAGAAGAAGAGGAGGAGGAGGAGGCGGCCGGGGCGGCACTGCAGGAGGAGTCGTCGAGTAGTGTGGAGTGGGATGCTGGGATTGAAGAAGAAGAAATTGTTGGTTCGTCTTCGTCTCCATCGTTGCCGTCGTTACCGCCTACTGGTGGTGACAAGGGAAAGGGGAAATGTCCGGTGGGGGCAGAGGACGACCCGGGAGATCCAATGGAGGGCGTCGAGAGTACCGGGCATCTGCACGGCACGACTGCAACGCCTGAGCAGCTATTTATGGGCCCAATTGAGGATATCGGCGGCGGCATGCATGTTGATGAAGAGGTGGGTTCGGTTCGGATGTGTGGTGAGGCGAGTGGGAGCGCGGCTACGCATACACCGGCTGAGAATGCTGCATCTCGGGACAAAGGTAAAGGTCGTGCGCTGGAGTTTCCATCGGGGCCTGCTCCAGGGCCGACGCCACTGGCCTTTCCTTCTTTTGGAAGTTTTGACTACGTTCGAAGTAGTCCTCCCGGCGGGAGTAGTGCTTTCGCTGGATACGGGCTGGCATCTGGGCTATTCGATGTCTTTGCACGGTTCCGGGTTCCTCCTTCTAAGAGCAGTTCGTCCGACCACGCCGAGCAGAGTATCGGCTACGACGCTCTTTTCGGCCCAAGTCTGCATGCTGCTGCAAGCTCATCTGGGAGCAGCAGCAGCAGTAGCAGTCCCGCGCCGCTGTTCCCCTCTCCTCGCTTCGGGCGCGAAGCCTGGGACGACGACAATGCCAACGCAGGCCAGAGCTCGAGCTTGAGAGTGACTGTCAACCCGTCGTCGCTGTCGCCGGCCTTTTCCAACCAAAACTTCTTCCAGGGGACATTGCAGCCACGCAGACCAGTCAACAGACCGAAAATCGTCATCACTCCCGCAACACCGACCGGTTCGCCTCCGAAAAGAAAGCGCGAGCTGCCACCAGACGACGACGACGGCGAGCCCCCCCGACCGCCTCGCAAGGACACTTTCAATTATAATACCAGCGGTCTTCCGGTTCTTCCCGCGTCAAGTAAAGCGCTCTGGACAACGTCCTTTACAGGGCATACGCCTGGGCTGCTGAACACGCTCCTCACGTGGACGCACGCCATGCGCAGCCTGTCCCACCGTCTCCGCAATTATCGTGCGTTCGCCGCACACCCTGCGTTCCCACTTCTGATCATGCCGCCGATATACGAGCGCCTTGTTAGTGTTGGCTTCTACAGCAACAGCAGCAACAACACTGCGGCGCACGAGGAAGTGCGCTTTCTGGGCCCGGACGACGCGGCCGAAATGGTGTACGCCGAAGTCGATGTTTTCCGTACAAACGCCGATGTTTCTGCGTTGCACGAGAAGGAAAGACGCAACTCGGCGTATGCGAATATGATGAAGCGATTTGGGCTGAGCGAGGAGATGGGCAGCGGTGACGAAGAGCCCAGTCGACGCATGGATCAGACCCACCTTGTAATGACGGGGGAGGGCCGCTGGGCCTACATTTTCATCCGCGGCCATACGATGGGCAAGGGGAAAGAACCACAGCAGCAGCAGCAGCAGCAAGAGGGTGAGAACAAGCAGGGCGATGAGCACAAACAGGAAGAAGAAGTCGCGCCGCATGTTGTGCTTGCTTGGCACTGCTCTGCTCGTACGCAGGGCTACACTGGTTTGCACACTGTGCTTCCTGACCCCGATCTTCCGGTACAACTGCCCAATCCTCTTCCTCCATCTACGCAGTCGCTGCGCCGCTTTGTGTCGCTTCAGAACATGCGGAATCAGGTTGATAGAGTCAATCGACTGCATCGCGAGTTACGCTCAGCCAGCAGTTCGGAGCCACCGAAACCGAATGCACTTGACGTTGCGCAAGACGTAGTGGGCGCAAAGATGTTCCAGCGGACGGTGGTCAAGTTTGAAAAATCGGGGAGTGTGCCGTTGATAGATGGGTACAGAGTCGACGTGAGAAGGTTTCGGGCATGGATGGATGCCGTGGGGCGGGGCGAGGGTAAAATTGTTTTTTGGAGGGAGTTTTCTCGGACTTGAGTAGTCAAAGGGGGGGGGGTATCGGGATTGATACTCCTTCGACATACATATCGACGAGGAAAAGAGCTCCTCGGATTGGGTAGCGGAGAAGCATGATAGTTTCTCGATGGCGTCCTCGTCAATCGCTTCCTCGACGGTCTTTTGGTTTCTGCACGACTGTGCTTTGTCAGCCTTGTTATACCCAAAACACCATGAACCGGCGAGGAAAGAATACAAACTTACATCCTTTTTTAATCCAGTGATTCATGTACTTTCTAATCCGATACAAGAGCGCTTTTGAATCCACCTCTGGCATGCCTTTCTCAGCGAGCCTGCGATTAGCATCGTCGATGATATCTCTTCGCACATCCTCTGGTATATGTGACCAGTAGCGCAGATTCTCCTTTGGAATCTGGTCGCTGTGTGCAAGCACGGCTTCGCGAAGGAGCTGGCGCGGGAACTCTGTTCTGGTGGCGGCCTCCCAGTTATGGCAGTGTTTAATGTCTGGTGTAAAGCCTTGTCAACCCAGCCCTAATCATAAAATAAAGAGAAAGAAAGAAAACTATTGACCAGTACTCACCCCGCATCTTCACTCTGAGCTCAGGCATGCATTTCGAAATCCGCCACTCAATCGCATCGTCGTCGAGGGCAGGAAGCCCTACCTCGCGTATTGTAGTTTGAATCTGGCGCCGCATGCGTATTCTCTCCACGGAAGGGATTTCGCTCAGCTTGTATCCTGCATGTTCTTCACACACGTTTTGGGAAACGCGCTGGAGGGGAAGCAATGCGGTTAGTCTCGGAATCACGATAGTTTGCGCACGTGACACGCGCGTGGGAACTAACAACGAGGCTGTGAAAAATGCATCTACGTACCATGAAAAGAGACCACTGTTCATCTGAAAGACGTAGGAATTTTTTGACTTCGGGGTGGCTTGCGCGCTGCCGCAGGGGCGATGGCGCGCGGGCTGCCGTCCGCCAAAGTGCTGCTGTGCTTTTCATGGTGGCGTGGGGTCGCACGTGATGTGTGGTGAGTGGGCGACAGGCAGACACATGGCATTTCAGTCGAACAGGGGAGCTTGGCACAGCCTTCTTTGGCCCCAACGGACACGGGACGGGACAAGGACTGGATGGATGCTAGCTATTGCTGCAGTAGTGGTAGCATTGTGATTGTCGCCTCTGCCTCCGTCTGACTGCAGATGGGAGAAGAATGGCTGGTGGGCCCGTTGAGCGAAATTGTGGGGGCCAACGCGCTAGGAGCTACGAGGGGTAATACAAGCAGCCCCCGGCGGCAAAAAAGCGTCTTTGCAAGTAATAATAACTAACTCCTACCCACTACCACCTGCTACTGCATAACCACGCGCCCGCCCCCCAATCACGCCATTCGCTCTTCAGCCTCGCCCGCAGAGTACATGCACGATGCTGTTGCGCAGCCATGCGGGCTGTGTGGCCCGGAGAATACATGCAGATACAGATGCAGATGCAGATGCAGATGCACGGTGGAGCCTCTCAGCCTCGTCCAAGGCCGCCGTTCGGGGAATCACAACATACACATGCAACAAAAACGAGGCTCGTATACCTATACCAGTGCGGGATTGCCCGCCAAGAAGGATCCTTGCCAATCTACACCAATCCGTGGCGCGCTGCAGCTTGTAGCCTAGCCTGGACGTTCCATCTTGGGGCTGATATGGCTGGGCGGCACGCCTTAAACATGCGTACCTGGTCTCGCACTGTGGTGCTTCTTCTACGCGCTGCTCGCCCGCCCTCCACCTTCATCTGACCGCTGTTTTTTTTCTTCCTTCACCAGTTTCGCATTGTGCTGCTCTTTTATCGGGCCGCGTTGCTCTTTGCTGCAAAACCATGGCATACGACCCCGTTGGCCAGAATCCAGATCGCCGCTCCTCCGTCACGGATGGATTCGAGCCGAGCACGCGCTACGACGCTGGCTCGTATAGTAGCGGCCCGCCGGGAACGGCGTCGCTAGATGGCAGCAGCGCGGAGGATGGAGGAGCCAAGGGCTCCAAGGACGCCGTTCAGACCACCGAAATCATCAAGGGCGACTGGCCGCTGCAATCGAAGCAGCTGGCCACCATGACGGTGTGGGGAGTCATCGTCCTGATTTTCGATGTCATTCTCGCCTCGACGCCCATCATGTTTGTCGGTAGGTCTATTTTCTTCTTTGGGGATGGCAGTACTTAGGCTACGAATATTGAGCGCAAATGCTAACGCAGCTTAGTACTCGCCATTATAGCAGCCAAGCTAAACGGAGAAGAAGTTTCAGATTACGGATACAAGCTCAAGGAAACGCTCCTGCTGTCCCCCACAATATTTCCCTTGCTGTTCGCGGCTTTAATGGGGCGATTCTTCCGCCATCTTGGTCTCTGGTTAGCCCAGCGAGGAACCACGCTCGGTCGCCTCGAACACCTCATCGGCTGCCAGTCTGTCTTCTCAGCACTTGAACGCCAATTCTCGTTGCGGTCGTGGTCTGCCATCGGAGTCGTATCCGTCTTGGTGTGGCTGCTCTCGCCCGTCGGCGGACAATCGGCACTGCGGCTGCTAGACCAGGAGACGCGCCAGGTGCACTCGACGGTTCTCGTACGATATTTGAGCCCCATGTCCATAGTAGACAGTATCATGGGCGGCGCCAGTTTCATCAACGAAGCCCGCAGTGCCTTTACCTCCATCTGCCTCGCTGCCATCCTCAGTAGTTCCAAGTTCCAGAACACGCCCATGGACTTGTGGGGAAACATCAAGCTCCCCATGTACCGCCATCTGGAGAACAGCACCACCGTGGATGGATGGAAAGTCATCTCGGACCCAACGGCCGACAACATCACGTATGCTTCTCTCATAGGCATCCCGATAGTCGGCCAGCCTTCGGATGGCTCCTCCACGTTCAACATCAAGGCTCGTCAGTTTGACCTGACGTGTTCGAGTAACAACGGAACCAAGAAGGAGCCCGCCGACTTTGAGAACAAGTTTACGTGGCAGCTGAGAGTCATCAATGATACGGCGCCAGCATGCAAAAACCGCACGCTGTGCCCACTCCAACAGTGCCAAAACTATCCCTGCCCAATTCGCAGCCTCTCGCTCGCGACCAGATCGCTTGACCACAGCGAGGAAAAGTACGATTTTTCCACAGCCAGATGCCAATTGACGTATGAGAACTTTGAAGCAGGCGTGCAGTGCAAAGGGAAGGCGTGCGCCGTGTACAAGATGCGCAAGCTCGACTTACTCGACAGCAACTTCACAATAGGCATCGACAAGCTTATTCGGCAAACCTTTGTCTTTAACCAGCTCGCCACCATGGTCAATCTAGACACCTACAACGTAGGAAGCGCGGTAGCCCGAGGCTCCACAAACATGGAGAGATGGATCCAGGACCCAACCGACTTCATCGGCGTGCTCTTCAGCTACGCGAAACTGTGGCAGCTGTCGCCCCAGGTCTTCGGCGACCGTCTGACAATCATGTACAACACCTTCTGGCAGTCGACGTACGGGACCCCTGCACTCGCCGGCAATCTGCCCGCATACGTGCTGAAGACGGGCCAGCTGAATTCCACCAATGCCATGTCCAACATCCAGTTCCTGCCGCTCGAGGCGCAAACAACCAGAGCCACCAAGCCCGTGTACCGCACAAACTGGAAGTGGTTCACAGCGCTGCTAGTATGTTCCTTAATTCTGCTCGTCGCTGCCTGGGCTGCCCTTATTCTCAAACACATTACCATTGTGCCGGACATCATCGGCTATGCGTCGTCGCTTACCCTGCTGAACCCGTATTGTCCAACACCTACGGGCGGCACTACGCTCAACGGGTTGGAGCGCGCCGCCCTCCTGCATGACTTGCCTGTCAGGATAGGCGACGTGTGTCCGAATGAGTCCGTCGGCGCCATTGCGTTTGCGAAAGCCGACATGGGTCAGGTAGCGAGGCTCGACCGTCAGCGGTGGTACATCTAAAAGGGTTAGAGAGAGAAAAAAAAGGGGCTGCGTCAGCCCTGCCAGGATATGGGGTGGAGGGTATGGCTGTTCAGGCGGGGCGGACGAGACACCGAGGGGGGGGGGGAAGGGTGGGAACAACATAGAGGGCAATGGAAAAGGGCAACAGAGAAAATTAGCAGGATGGCCTTCTGGCGCTAGATGCTCTATGCAAACTGCAGTGTTCGTGCCGGCTCGCCAATGACACTGCTTCCAGACCGCAGTAGTGTGTCTCACCTTGTGTCGGACAAGGCCGCCACGAAGAGCTTAATCGCTGTCAAGAAAGCTTGTCTTCAGACAAGCAACCACCACACTCTCCACTCCTAACCCGCACGCCCGGGCGACGGCGGCACGCGGATGGCACCACCTGTCAGTGGCTTGGCGGATGGGCATTTCACCATGGAATGCGATTGGCCCTCTTGTGTAAACTGCAGGGGTGGCGCCCAAGACTTGAGGCATAATGTGTGTCGACGCCACAGGCCTGTGGAGTTTCAGTGGTTTGAGGCTTGACCGCGTAAATGTACGTCGCGCCTGGTAGTACCGCCGCACCGAGCTGACGACAGGCAGTACAGCCGAACATGCTGCCACCGCCATATTCGCAGAGTCAAACGGCCCTTCATCTGCATGTATATATATCGTGTGCAGCGCGGCCCAGTTTGAAGAATCATCAAGAAGTCCACTCTCTTATCAGCCCTTCCTTTTTGATCAATTCATTCTCTTGTTCACAGCGACCGGTTTCGCTTTCAGTCTTTCCAACACTCTTTATTGCATCCAAACATCTTCCGTTTCCCCAAAAACATCCAACTACAAAAAAAACAGCAAACATGCGATTCACCGCCACCACCTTTGCCGTCCTCAGCGCCGCTGCGCTCACCAATGCTCGTGCCATTGATGCCCGCGCAGCCGGCAACTTGCAGACCTTCACTGGCGCTGTTGCTGGTATCCAGGCTACTCCGGTTACCAACACTGGCGATGCCAAGCGCCCCTTTGCGGTAAAGGGCGACTCTTTTGTCAACCTTTCTGGTGCGCTCCAGCGCTCTTGCGACCAGCAGTTCAACGCATGCGCCGGAAAAGCAAACGGCGGCGACAAGGCCGTTACCCTTGCTGACTGCACCTCGCAGCAGAGTAAGTAGCACTGATATTGGAACTTGAGTAGTGAAAACAGATACTAACCATGTGATAGCTCAATGCAACGCAGCTGCTAAGACCAAGAGGGCCACCACCGATGCTGCTGCCGCCGCCGCCGCCCCTGCAGCGGCTGCTGTTTCTCCTGCGGCTGCTGCTGCTGCTCCTGCTGCTGCCGCGGCCTCTCCTGCTGCTGCTGCCGCCGCTGCACCGGCGACGGCCCAGGACAACAAGAAGAAGGGAAAGAAGGGAAAGAAGACCAAGGGCAAGGGCAAGAAGAAGGGCAAGAAGAACGGAAAGGGAAAGAAGAAGGGAAAGAAGAACGGCAAGGGCAAGAAGAAGGGTAAGAAGGCTGCCGCCAACAACACTGCCGCCAACAACACTGCCGCCAACAATGCTGCCACTGGCAACGCGGCTACTGGCAACGCTGCTACTGGCAACGCGGCTACTGGAAACGCTGCCACTGGAAACGCTGCCACTGGAAACGCCGCCGCCGCTTCTTCCAACACCGCTGCCGCCGGCACTGCGAACACTGCCGCGACTGGTGCTGGTGCTTCGACTGCGGGCACTGCGGGTACTGCCAGCGCTGTCCAGGCTCGTGGTGTTGAGGACATTGCCAAGGATGGAGCAAAGAAGGCCGAGCAAGCAGCCAAGGACGGAGCCAAGAAGGTTGAGCAAGCAGCAAAGGATGGCCTCAAGAAAGTTCTCGGTCGCGCACCTGGCGTCGAGGACATCGCCAAAGATGGAGCCAAGAAGGCTGAGCAAGCAGCAAAGGATGGCCTCAAGAAGATTCTCGGCCGCGCGCCTGAGGTCGAGGACGCCGAGGACGTTGAGGAGGACGACGAGTAAGCTGGTGCACTCGAGCCCATCGTCTGTCCTCTCTTCAGAGTGCAAGGCATGTACATGGACGAGCCTACTCCGATGCGCGAACGGCCCGGCCACCCTTTCGACTTTTTTGTGTAGTTGTCCTGGTTTTTGTATATTCGGCTTCACAAAAGTGTTGGATGCATAGAGTGATTGGACAGGATTTCCACTCTAGATAGTATTAATGTTTGATCTTGCAGGATTCGGCTGCAAATTGTTATTTTTCTCTGACGCTCTCACCGTGATGTCCTTTTGTTTGTTGTGATCCTTTCTCTTTGTCTACCACCTCTTTTCCCGTGCTGTCTTTTGGCGGCAGATTCTTCAGACACTGCGCGTAGAAGAGGTGACCACTCCATGCGCCTCTGACTGTGCCGATGAAGACGACACACCAGAGGATGATGACGGCGACGGCGAAAATCGTGCCGAGAACTCTGAAGAACAGGCTTGGGATGACGTGGCCGAGCTCAATTGTACTAAGCGCGAAGACACCAAGTGGGAATGTGAAACCCCACCAGCCCATGTTGAAGGGGAACGGGCGGGACTTGTATATGGAAGCGAGGGCGTAGCAGAGCCAAGTCAGTCCAAAAGACCACATTATTAGTGCCATGAAGATGCCGATAACATAAAAGACGTCACCGGCTATGGGAATGTCTGAGAAGGATTCGGTTTGTGGAAAGACGCGACGACATGACGATCCAAGATGAACAACGGCGTAGCCACCCAGACCCAAAGGACCTAGTGGCAGGAAGGACGACACGACAATTTCGCGTGGTGGCAGTTTGTGCAGTGCCAGGCGCGTGTAATACATGACGATGACAGTCATTGATAGAGGCACAGACATGCCCCACAAGATGTACGACGCCAATATCGTGCCAAGAGCATGCTCTGGGTCAGTCATGTTGTCAGCGACTCGAGCACCCGCCCCAGAAGCCACCACAGAAGCCGAGATGGGCAGCAGCTGAGCAGCCGTAATCCTATCCAGGGCCTGGCGACGAGAAGCCGATATCAAAAGGACCGTGAGGGAAATGGTAACCGTAACAGCAACCACAGCGTCAATCATCCAGCAAACCCAAGCAAACGTCACGGCCCACGAGCCCCAGTACGGAATGCAGATGGAGCACCAGGCCGAAATGAGCGTCGAAAAGCCCATGGGAACCGTCCCCAGAAACAGCGAATTGGCACTGTCGGCAATCATGACGGGCCAGATCTCTGGGTACGCGACATATCGGAAGACGGAAATCGACAGAGCGCAGGAGAAGAGAATGGCATTCAGGCCGAAGAAGAAGACAGAGACCCAATACAGCCAGGTTGCGTGGAAGGGAATCGAGACAAAAAGCAACGAGACGACGCCCGTGCCCGTGGTGACGGAGAACCACGACGGCGAGAAGTTCCTGACGATTCTGCGCCAGCCAACCTGCACCGAGTCAGCATGTGAAGATGCTCCTGTAAGTAGTTTCTGAGACACGTACATCGTATTTGGTTACGTCTTCTTCCTGGATGACCGTGTCCTGCGAGCCATCCGAGGCCGATGGCGGCGTGGCTTTTGCACCGCGAGACCTTTGGCGCTGGACGGGTGTGCCGTGGGAGTTTGGCGCACACAGCGCAGGGTTATTCGTGCCTACGCGATCAAGCTCATACTCGTCCATGAGCGCTGCAAGCTTCCCAAGCGAAGAGAGCGAGAAAAAGGCGATTCTGAAAAGAAAAAGCGGCGGTATTTAGCAGAAATGGAAATTGTGCAAAAAGGCCATTGGTGGTCGCGAGAACAGTCATGGCGGCGGGTATGACGACGTTTGGGGGGTTGCGGAGCCGTTGGCAGGCAAAGCGGCGGCATGTCCAATCCGGGTGCCCCGACCCAATCACGTGGCGAGCACGGGCCGATTGGTTTCACAAGATTGCGCGCTTGTGCGGTGCCCGTGTCGAAGGGAAAGAAAGGACCGTCCTCACTTCCCTAAACTCCTGCACTATTACTACTACCACTACTACTACCACTTACATACGCCCTACATACGACTTACATACAACTCACCTACTAACATTGAATCCGCGAAACAGTTTGGCTCCCCCTCGTCTTCCCGTCCTGTTCTCTTGCCCACCCCTCTTGCGTCCTGGGACCCGGCTGTCTGTGTGTTGCCCGCAAACTTGGCCTCCCCTCCCCTCTCTCCCGTTTGTTTCCCACTGCCCGCCCCCCGTAATACATAAGCCCTCGCCTCCCCCCAGGGGCCCTTCTCCTCACCTTTTGCGACGTTCGCGTGGGCCGCCCCGACCCTGGACTCTGGCTACGGGGGGGTTGGTGGTGGTGGCCAGGCGCATTGTCAAGAAAGCATCGGCATCGGTCGCAATCTGGGGGGATTTCCTTTGGGCCAAACGATGCCTGGGTTTCTGGATCTGCCGCTGGAGCTGCGCAACCATGTGTACGAGATGCTGCTTGGCGAAGAACTGGAACAGTCGTTCCGCGGCGTCATGGTCGTGTCGGAAGTCTATGTGCGCCATGACCTGCCGCTGCGCTGCTATCGGGGCCTGTTGCGCGTGTGCCGCCAGACGTATCGCGAGTTCAAGCAGGCCATCCAGCACCAGGTGGCGTCGAAGCGGCTGCGCTATGAATTGGACATTACCTTTTCGCACGGCCGACCCTACTTCTCGCTGACGTGGATACAATTCGCCGCGCTGTCGCCCACCATCAACCAGCTGTGCATCAACGTCGACCTGCGCACGCGCGAGCCGCTGCGAGACGGGCCACGAGAATCCTTTGTGCCGCATGAGCACGAGCTGGCGCATTTGCTCGAGCACTCGCCCACGTGTTTTGCCAAGCAGCTCTTCGACTACATTGCCATCTTCCTCAAGACGCTGGCCAATCTGCTCTTCCAGGCCGACCCCCACTTCAGCGTCCTCTACACTGAATGCATGACGCTCAACCTGCGCACTCCCACAAAAGTCGTCGCCCTCGGCGGCAGCGGCCACAACCCCATTGCCCTCTCCCGCAGACTTCGCGTCGACCAGACAGAGGCCCGCAAGCTGCACGATACCATGCGCGACACCCTGCGTGCCACGTCCAAGCACTTCCAGGCCTTTGACGCAAACGACTGCAATCGCCTCTTTCCCCTCATCCAAATCGGCTGTCTGCGCTTTGCCACCGAAGGTCAAGTCTGGGGTGAGGGGCACAATTTAGTGCTTGCACATGACGATTTCCAGTGGCTTCGATACTAGTGCTTTTGGCAGACCCAGCGCTCCGTTTTTCTCTCTCTCTCTCTCTCTCTCTTGCAAAGCCATCCTGTTTATTGGTTTTTTGATTTTTTGATTTTTTGCCGTAGGCGTTCTGGATTCATGGGCCTATAGGGGGGAGGTCACCTGATACATACATATATATCCAGATGGGTTGAATGTTGTTTGTTCTTTGCTAGCTCAGGCGCCCTAGGTGTACTCGTTTTTTTTCTCTTTCTTTCTTCTGTCTTCCCATGAAGCGATCGTCTCCGTCTTATATGTTGTCCATTACATTTTCACTGCATGATATCCTCTTATTTATTGATTTTCTTTTCTTCTGAAACGTCAAGAGCGTGGACTCGAAATGTCACTACACGTGGCGTTGATCTGCCGAAGTCAGTTTCAAAGCATGCACATGATGCAAGGTAGAAGAGTGCGTGTGAGTATTTGCATGAGCTCTTGCATGGCGCCCACCAAACTATCGAGCTCCTTGAGAATCTAGATCTTGTTCGAAGGCGACTCTTGGCCACTGTACATGTTTCTTTTTAAGCGATTATAAAGGTACTGATACGCTAAACGGCTACATGGTGCGATAAATGCAGAATGTAGATGACGAAATTCAATCGCTAAATCCCTCAAACTCATCCTCTTCGTCCTGTGCTTCTTTCTCAGCCACTGTCTTCCGCACCTGCGCAATCATGGCCTTTAACCGCTCTTCTTCCTTGCGCTCGTCTTCAGTCATGGCCGCCACACGCTCGTGCTCGCGCCTTGCCACCTTTTTCTCTCTCCGCAGCTCCTTCAAGGCCTTCATGTCTTTCTGCTGAGTCCAAGCCGAAGCCTTCTTATCCTCTGGTACATAGCGTTTCTTGCCCTCGGCCTTGTTGGATTCATACTCGGCCTGCTCGACCTGGCGCTGCTGCTCGCGCGCCTTGTCTTTGTATGCGTAGGTGCTCAAGTCCAGAGCGACGCCTAGACTTCGATCGCCGTCCCATTTTTTGAGTTCGGGCATGCTGGGTAGCTTGAGAAGACCCCATGCATTGCCTTGTTCTGTCCAGTCGAGATCTGGAATGCGGAATATGGAGCTGGCTGTGTGCTTGCTGTATGCGCGGACCCATGACACGAAGCCTCGCTGCGCCTTGTCGAACAGCGCCCGGTCAGACTTGACTACCTTTCTTATTTTGTTACTTGCCGCTTCTGCTTCTTCCTTGGAGACGTCGATTTTTGGAGTGGTCAAGGGCGATATGGGTGTTTGTCGGACGCGGAGGAATTCCACATAGTCTTCTTCGCGGCCTGGGTTCAGAAAGGTGACGGCAAGTCCTTTACGGCCCGCTCGGCCTGCTCGACCACAACGATGGATAAAGGTCTTTGGATCACTTGGCGCATCGAGCTGCAAGACTAGGTCAACTGACGGTATGTCGAGACCTCGAGCTGCAACATCAGTGGTCAGGAGGATAGTCGGTGCTACACTGTCAACAAACTTGTTGAAGTTTCTCCGGCGGACCTTGTCTGGGTGCTTGCCGTGCATAGGAACAATGGCATACCCTTTTAGAACTTCTGGCAAAACGTGTTGAAAGTAGTCGACGGAATAACATGTCGCCAAGTACGTGATTGACTTCTGGGGCTGTGGCTGTAAAGACGCTAGTAGTTTCTTGATGGCGGAGAGCTTGTGAGACGCAGGCATGGCTAGGTACGACATCTGCAAACTTGCAGGTGTCCTCTTGTCCTCGATGGCCCCGGCCTCGCCTGTCGCCGCATTGGGCGCAGCTCGTGCTTTGACCTTGACTGCGATCCGGACTGGATTTCGGAGACCAACGCGAATAAGCTGGTCGACTGCCTCGCTTACACTCGCACTGAAAAGGCCAGTCCGGCGTTGCTTGGGTAAACGAGATAGGATCTTCTGCAGATCATCTTTGAAACCCAAATCGAGCAGGCGATCGGCTTCATCGAGAACAAGAGCGTCGAAAGAAGACTGCGAGCAATGCACGTGCGGTGAGGAGAGGAGCTCGAGAAGTCGACCTGGCGTGCCGATGAGAATGTTGGTGGATGATTTTAGAAATCTGCTAAGGTCTTGCGCGGGCGTCACTGAGCCGCCAAGGAGCAGCTGAGGGACGACTCTCAAGGTGCCTGGGGGGAACTTTGGCTTTGGCGGCGCGTCGGCGTCGTCCATGTCGGTGTCATCATCTTCGGGTTCCAACAGGGCTGCAGAAGGGGCGTGGAATTTGAGCAGAGATAGCAGTACTGTGTGAATCTGTGTTGCCAGCTCTCTGGTTGGCGATATGATGATGGCACCCACGTGATGCTTCTTGATGGGCGCATCGAGTCGGAGCAGGCGCTCCACAATGGGAATAAGAAAGCTGGACGTGTATTAGCATCAGCGCGCCAGAACGTGTGTAGGGCATTACGCTAGAGTCTTTCCGCTTCCCGTGACAGCTTCGACCACAACATCCGAGTTCTTCATGAACATGGGGATGGCTGCATGCTGCACAGGCGTGGTTTTGACGAAGCCCATGGAATCGACCGCCTCGAGGATCCATTCGGACAGCGCTGGCGTCAGGGCGCCAAAGGAGCGGTCCATGTTCGCCTGGGGAGCCATGGCCGTGTCGAGCCTGGGCAGATGTCTTCTGGTGCTGCTGAGAGAGTCGCAGCGTCGGTGCGGAGAAAAGTTGGGCGAAGTCGTAAATTAAAGTGGGGCCGCACACCGCCACCTGCGCCACCCAGACCTGCAGGCTGCGCCACATGGCTGAGGGGAAAGCAACGCGAGGGGTACGTTTGTTTTGAGTTTGTGCGTCGAGGCTTACTTTTGCTTTGCTTTGCACTGCACGGCCGTGTCGCCGTCACCGTCTTATGACATGCATGGTCCGTGGCACAGAAAAGTGTCGTCATGCATCGTGGAGAAGATGGACGACACCTGTCTCGCTCTCGCTGCCGCCGCCCGCCCACCTGATGGAATCGCCAAGACGGATCCGCCGCGACGCTGATCGCAGGCACCTTCGCGAAGGCACGCCATACGTATGTGGCCCTGCAGAATCAAATTTCCCACGCTCATGCAAGCAAGATTGCATCGCCGTCGCCCGCCCGCCCCCCTGCTCCGCTGCCTACACATAAACAAGACGACCGCGGTTGTCGCCTGCCAGAATTGTGGCCTCTCCTGTCCCCCGAAGCGATGCGCGCTGCCCGGACGAATCGACGGGCTGCCAGTCTCCAGTAATACCTGCGCCTGCGTCTGACATCGATGTCTTAAAGGCCGCCAGCCCGCGTGATATCTGTGACACGCCCACGCAGCCTCACCGTCCGTTTTTTCTGCAGCCCCCAGGCCAGCTTCCGTTGCTTGCCAATCTCGCCCGACTCTGCTCTGCGGCCCGCTGCACCCTCTCCGGAGCCATCCGGACGCCCGCTCTTCCCTGCTTTCCCATCTACTGGCGAGCCGCCATGGAGTCCTCACGACAATATCAAGTGCCGCACACGCCGCGCGTGATATCGCCTTCGCCCACGCCCTCGGAGGCTGGCAGTACAAAAGACGGCTACTTTGGGCCTGTGACACGCTCGGCGGCGCGCAAACAGCGACTTACGTCACCACCACCAATCGACGAAGACGAGTCCGGCTCGGATCCTGACACGAGGGCGCGCACCAGAAGCCGGAGCCCGGCTCTCGACAAAGTAGGAGGACGCCGCCGAATGAGCGGCCTGTCCACCCGCAGGCAGATGAACGGCTCCATGAAGAAGGACCTGACGCTGCCGAGCAGCATGCCCAACGGGCACTTGTCGCCGGCGGCGGCGAACAAGAACTACTGGCGAGAGATGAGCAGGAGCCCCAGCCCTCTGGGCCTTATTCCCATTCACCAAAAGTGGCGATCGTTTGTAAGTTGGACATGCGACGCATGGTTGCACGACCCCTCCTGACAAGCCCTCCAGATTCACCGGCATGAAATACCCCGCAAGATCCTCCACGTTTCCATTGGATTCCTCACCATCTTTCTCTACTGCACGGACACGCAAACGTCGCAGATCCACAACGTTCTCCTGACGATGCTGATTCCCATTGCCCTGACCGACGTCATCCGACATCGCTACTGGCAGGTGAACCGTTTCTACATCCGCTGCCTCGGCGCCTTGATGCGCGAATCTGAGGTGGACGGTTACAACGGAGTCATTTCATACCTGCTGGGGGCGTGGATCGTCCTGCGCTTCTGTCCCAAAGACGTTGGCGTCATGAGTATCCTGCTCCTGAGCTGGTGCGACACTGCTGCCTCGACTTTTGGCCGGCTCTGGGGCCATCTCACGCCCAAGGTCAGGAAGGGCAAGAGCCTCGCGGGATCCATTGCGGCGTGCGTGACTGGTGTCATGACAGCCGCAGTATGGTGGGGCTGGCTGGGCCCTCTGTACTCGGAGTACAACCAGGGAGAGCATGCCTTTGCCTTCCAAAACGCCCTCGCACTGCCCTTGCGAGTGCGCGAGACACTCAACTTGTCCCTAGCCCAGGCTTCTGTTACGGGACACGTGGCTCTGGGCGTCATGTCGCTGGCTGCTGGCGTTATTGCCAGCGCCAGTGAGGCCATGGATGTGTTTGGCTGGGACGACAATCTGACCATCCCCGTGCTTTGCGGCGCCGGTCTCTGGGGCTTCATCAGGGTGTTTGGGTGAGGCGAATGCGCTCGCCCGTGTACGATTTGACGACATACTCTTCTTCTGCACTTGTACTTTGAATTCACGTCAGCTTGGACGAAACGATACCCTAGATGCGGGCCCGCGGGGAATGGCATGGGATGTGTAATGGCGGAGAGGGCGGGAATGTAATGGGAGCAGGCCAGAGGGGTCCGGCCAGCAGTCGTCGCTATTTTAATCAATGTACCTATGTGAGCAAAAGGCCATGTGCGCCCAGCCACTGCGCTGCTTTTGTGTCATGGCGCTATCAGGCTTATCGAGTTTCAAGCCGAGGTCCAGATGGTCGCCTTGATGGCCTGTCCAGCGCCGAATGCAGCGCCTTTGTCGCACCCGCGGCGGCGGAGAATCGATCGTCAAGCCGGCGCGCATGCAGCGCCGACGCAAAAGGGCAAGCCCGAAGGCCTTGGGGAACCCCTGCGATGAGCTTCTTCGCCTTGGCACTCTCCGCCACATGCAACACGGCCATTGGAGCGCACTTGCCCATGACCGCCGCCGTGCCGCTCCATAGGCAGGCTTGCGCTCGTCAGGCCACTCGACGTGCCAGTCGGCCGCATGGTATTTAGCATCATGTCCGCTTACCGGGGCATGCCAATGTCCTAGGTGAGCCTCCACCACGCGCCTCTAGGTGTACTTACTTCTGCCGAGCGCCCGCAATCTGACTAGATTGCCCCGCCATACCCACCGCTGCGACATCTCCGCCCGCCGCCCGAACGCGCCTCTGCACTCTTCACGGCCCTTCTTTCCAAACTCGAGCCCGAGCACGAACCTCTGCTTGCCTGTGAGCACGCCTCCAGTCGCATCCCGAGCCCAGGTCCAACCTCCAACGCCACACGCTCACATACCGCCACGGCGCAGCATGGCATCGTCATCGGCCGCAGCGGGCCTCCTGGCTCGCCAGCTCAAGCAGATGCAGAACGACAAGAGCATATCAGGCATCAGCTGCGGACTCGTCGACAGCAACGTATTCGAGTGGGAGGTGATGCTCATGATTGACGACGACACCAAGTTCTATGGAGGTACACATCCTCTGAGATATCACGGGCCGCCGGTCTATTCACACGTCATATAGGAGGTTTCTTCCGCGCACGCCTAACCTTCCCCACCGAATACCCCCTCATGCCGCCCAAGATGCGCTTCGAGACACCCATCTTCCACCCCAACAGTGAGCCTCTCCACCACCTCTCGTGCATACTACTCCTTGCCACATGCCCGACTAACACCGCAAAGTCTACCCGAACGGCGAAGTCTGCATCTCGATCCTCCACCCGCCCGAAGAAGACAAGTACGGCTACGAATCTGCCGCCGAACGCTGGTCCCCCGTCCAAACACCCGAAACCATTCTCCTCTCCGTCATATCCATGCTGTCGAGCCCAAACGACGAGTCGCCCGCTAACGTCGAGGCTGCAAGCCTGTGGAGGGATAATCCAGCAGAGTTCAAGAAGCGCGTGCGCAAGTGTGTCAGGGATAGCCTCGAGTTTGAATGAGGTTAGCAGGAACAACACGGGATGGGGGTCGGCCCCCCAAAATGTGATTATCAATTTCAGCAAAAACAGCATAAGCGTCGTGCAAAATATTTCTTGCTGGCAGGGTCCATGACTTGGTTACAAGCGTGCATGGTGGTAGGCTCGCAGCTTCTTTTTAGCCAAGCGCAGAATACATGAAATGTATTACTCACTATTAGGGGGGTTTTTTCTTTGATCGCTTGCCGAGTCATGCAAATTAACCAGGTTCCTCTAGCCCTAACTTACTAGCATTACAATGAGAAATAGAACCTCTATTATGGCTGGCCTAACTCTGGGTCGCGTGCTTTGCACCAGGTGCGTGGTCTGTATGAAAGTTCTCTCGCGCATAGCACAAAAGCATTTTTTCTCCGTCGTTGGTTTCTAGTATTTTGAGGTTTTCATGTGTGAAGTAGTGTTTGAACAATTTAACAACTTACATCATTCTACATCCCCATGTCCAGACGAAAGTCAAGGGTCTATATACAGTACTGTGTATCAAAAAACGGGGTGGAATATATTAATTTCCCTTCCTCATTCATTCATTCATTCATTCATTCATCCTTATTCCCAGTCCCCCCCCCCTTTTTTTTTCTCACTGAGACCCCTTATAATTCACCTCAGGCAGCTATCCCATGCTGGATTCCGACTCACCCCCCAGACTCTGTATCCTCGTAAATTTTAGTCGGAACAGTTTCACATGCATCGGCGTCGTTCTTAGCGCCAACTGGGCTCTCCGCACGCGGTGCTGCAATGCAGTCTCAGAAAACAAAACGGAGCTAGCATTGTTTCTAGCAACACTGCGCAATCGTGTCGTTGTTGATGTTGTTGTTGTTGTTGTTGTTGTAGGTGCAGAACATGAGGTAATTCAATGTAGCTGAGGGTAGAAGTAATGCTTGTACTCACTGCTTTCTCACTGCTTTCTCACTGCCTGCCAGCCGCTCTCAACTTTTCTTGTCTGCATATACACTCAAAGATGGGAGGGGGGGAAGACGTCGTTTTGTGGGGATTGATAAATAGGTTCCTGGTCGTGTTTTTAGATCCATGTTACACGAAGTTGAATTGTGACTTTGAGAATGGCGTTTTTTTTGCATTCAATAGAAGCTCTTTGTTCGCTACTAATATACTTAGAGGCCTGGAATTGTGTTTTACTTATTACATCTATTGGGCTTACAGCTGCAACACTCAACTCGACTATACATTGCGGCACCACGACCACGACATGGTGTGAACTCTATTTCTCTCTCTCTCTCTTTCTCTCAACATATTCTGGTAGGCCTGTTCTAGCACTCTCTGTATGTACGTTCCTTGTCTCCTCTGTCTTTGCTCGCAAAAAAAAATAATGAAACGATAACAATAACAACTCTCCTCTACTCTGACTATGACTATGACAGTGTACCAGCGTATCAGCAGCCATTCCCGGGCAGAAACACCCTCCCCTCCTTATTCCAACCCAGATCCCCGCTAGATCGGAGTGGGACTAGGAACAGAACTAGGAGTCGGATGAGGACAGAAGCGGTGGAACGGTACGATGGAATTCGGCTTGCAACACCGCGGGAGGAGACGTTGCTGTTTGCATTTTTCGTAGAATGTTTCGCCTTCTTCGGCCTTGTATTCGGCTACATGCTAATATCAGTATGAAGCCTTTTTTTTCCTTTTTCTTTTCTTCAACTATTCATCCTTCCTTTTTTTTGAAAGAGGGGGAACGAGGTGGGAAATGACGTACCAATTGTGCATCCTGTACTCAGCGACGTCGATGAGTCCCTCGAGCAGCAGTACTCTTTGTATGGTTCTGCGCACCCGCTTTCGGCAGAGACGAGGCTCACGAGAGCGGCGAGGGCCAGGATAGCGAACTTCATTTTTTTTCTTTCTTTTTCCTTCTCTCAATCCCACTTGTCGGAAGGTATCAGGTCAATTCTCAGTGGAAGCTAGGTCTTTTTTTTCGGGGTTCTTTTCTTTTTCGGGGTAGAGGATGGAGTCGGCGGTGGATGGGGAGTGTTCAGAGACGGAGGACAGGAGCTATGGACTTTATGTACTGAAGAGCCAGATAAGAGGCTGAGTTCCATACCTTCACCCTAGCATGGATCACTCGAATTGATACACCAGCCATCTAGCTGGATTGGGGCATCGGTGCCGACGCGTCGTTGACCGGAACATGTGGTTTGCTAAAGATACACACCTATGCACACTGCTTGCAGGTGGTGACAGCTATGGACGTCTCACCGCTACTAGCAGGAGTTGTTCTCAACAAAGTGGTCGAAAAAGCAACGTCGTGGAGCTTGATACGCGGGGTTCTTGGCATCGTAGCTGTGGTCGTGGGATACGCCGCGCGTTACGGAGGTAAGCAGATCCTCGGAATATGTTGTTGTATTGTTAGAAGTTCTTGTTCTCTTTCGATACTTGTCGTGGAAAACGATGTCTAGTGATCATGTTCAAGGTGTTGGGTTACGTAGCCCGCAACAGCATGTCTTCATTCTATGTATCGGATTTAGTTTGTAGAAGTTAGATACCATACACTGTTGCTTTGTGCATTCCGCCATTCCAGCAGTACATTTATTCGTAAATGCCAAACAGACTCACAAAAACAGGTTTCAAACGAATAATATATCAATGAATGTGAAGGCCATGGGACACGGCGACTTTTCCACTGACTTTATATGTGTAGTCACAAAGAGACGAACTTTGAGTTAGACATACGCTAGCAGTAGTCAAAAAATCCGAAAAGTTAATTCTTGGGCTCTAACAGGGCAACCCGGAATGTACCGCATGATTAGGCCGTGGTTCTGCCAGTTCGTGCACACTGCGGCAGATGCTAACAGCAACGTCGCTCTCATCACTACCATCAGCCGGTACTTTTAGTCCGGGAGAGGAGAGACACATAAATTCAACAAAAGGACAAGAAGAAAAAGAGAGAAAAAGTAACTTGATAAATCTGGATCGATTTTGACAGCGATGAGGATGACCGAGGGGAAGATGGGGCGAAGGACATGCCTCGACTTGCAAATAGCACGAGGGCAAGGGCATTCATAGCCTCCAGACAAGATTTGACTGGTTCTATCAATATGGAACAGCTTTGATTCTTCGCTACTTCGCATTCTCTCGCAACTTCCGCTCTTATTACACTACAATATCTCTTGCTTTGCAGCCAATTCATGTATACAGCTATTGTTCCTGAAACTCAAATTGATGTACAGTAACACGGTAGCGTACCCTCCAAGGTTCATGAGGATTCAAACGAACGTAGCACAAAGCCATCGGATCCATGGCTGCATACGCATCAATGAAGTCTTGGTCAACAGACCATGCGGCTATAAAGTGGCAGAATTACAATAATGTATCATACAAGTTCAGAAATTGATAAGTAACAAAAAACGGATTGGGGTTGTATCCTTCGCGGAAACGATCTGTTTCACCCTTCGGACATCAGTAATTAGTAGACCCTTTGCATGTGTATCCAGCGGCGAAAGAGGCGACCCTCATGAAAGCGATGAACAAGATAATAAGCTGGTGGGTTTTTTTTAACCGTTGAGTGTATTTGTTAATCTGGCTTTAGATGAAATAAGAGAAGGGTTCTGGAGATTGGAGTCAATAGTGCAACAAAAAAGAGGAAGAGGAGAAAGAGCGGTAGGAAGATGAACTCTGGGAGTGGAGATGTTCTCTGGCTCTTATGCAAATAATCTAGTGACTAGGCGAAAGCGAAGTTGTTGTATAGTACCAGCATTTGTAACATGTTCATACGCGTAAAGGCCCTCTGGCTATCTTAGAACCAAGGGGGATGAAATATCATTAGAGCGTTATTTTCCCTGCGCTTCGTTGCTGGCCACATTTTGCGCATTGCCAACTAATGCCCATGTCGCTACAAATAACAGCTAACCCTCTTACCGGTACCACCAGCTATAGCTATAGCCATTCATCTCAAAGGATAAAATGCAAGCAAGCTGCGTAAATTTGATGTTTTTTCATCTCCAGGAATCATGGAATGAAAGCACGACCGGTGGACCATGCTATTGTTCTCGCGTGTGGGTGGGAAACGATGCTCCTTCTCCTTTCCCAAACCCATCTTTAGCCTAAGTTTGCTTTTCTCTATTTGTCCACTTATATCTGTTTTCTAATCTACCGCTATCTTGCCATTCGTGGATCGCAGAATGGTTACGATGCCCAAGATTGAAAAGTGAAATGTTGAATCTAGCTGAAACGCTGCGAACACGCGGTGTATGTAAATCAAATTGTGATGTCCAAAATTTCAAACTAACATAGGTGGCGGTGTGTCTTTGCAACAAAATGGTACCGATGAGCAGCTTGGCAAAAAAGCAACTATCCAGATGTGGCTGGGTCAACTTCTATATTAGTCTCTAGCGTTACGCAGTGAAACAGGCACTTTGAAATATTGTTTAACAATTTACTTTTATAACAGTGCAGTGTCAGTACTGATGTTGAAAGTCTCAGGTTGTCTACTTCTAATACATCTCCCTATATGGTGTAAGAGACACATCAATCAGAAAGAGTGTGTTGTTGACCGACCAAAACTTGGGAAGTGACATGTTGTATGCGAATGCATAATAAACGAAAATACAGATAGATCACTTGATAGTCTGTGACAGAGAATGAATGAAGTAACCAGGGCAACAAAACACCAAGTGAAGTCCAGTAGTCTGCTGTCGTTCTTCTTCTTTGCTTACTGCCTACCTTGCTTCCATTTTCTTCAGTTTCCCAGCAACGGCATGTTTGAAGCTCAAGAGATGTCTATCGTCCCAGGTGTTCCTTATCGCCACAATATTGATGTAATTTTCCATCAACCAATTTCATCTCTTTTTAATAAACACTTGATTCTTCGCATCACTCAACGTCTATCGAGCAAAAACATTATTTACCACGCATGTTCAGTCCACTACCTTCGCGTTGCATCACCCCATCCCTAATCTTAGTACCAACATCGTTAGCAATCAAATCATTGGCGTTGGCTATTATCGACGTATCTTGTCTCTTAATACTCTGCAGAGGCATATCTTCAAAGTCAAGAACCATTAATCATTAAGAACAAGAATTGTTACCAAGCAAAAACTGATATATCCGTTTCTTTGATCAAGTTTCAAGTCACTGGAAATAGCACATGTACCATGTTATATCATGTGACGTTGATCTGACTGTGGTAGGGAGACTCAGTGAAAAATGTAAAGTTTTTTTTCAAGGGTGACGTGTTATCCAGAATCTAAAGTTGATTTGAAGGTCTATTTTCTATAGACATTCTACACTGACTTCAAATCAAGTGCTGTCTTCTAGACTGCTGGCTTCAGATGGCTAGGTCCAGGTAGATCCGCGAACACGGGCTGGCGATCAAGAGAGAACTGTAAAATGACTTAGCCAAACTTGCTCAAAGGCGCTTCATAGTGGGCAAACTTACTTTAACATCCTTTTCTACGTCCAAAATCAAAGCTTCTTTTGAAAATACAATGAAGGACCTGCATGTGTCGACTTGTTGTTTGGCTGCAGCCTCAAAGTCCTTTTGTGCTTTCCTAATCGACGGTACATATGCTTCATCCTTGATGTAAATCTTATACACCACAGCGTACGGAGGCAAATCGGCTCCACCAAAATATGCGTGGAGATCGAAATGTTCCGAGACTTCTGCGACATTAGCGCGGATCCCCCAAACCTCGTCCTGGCAATGTTTCTCAAGCTCTGTGATCAAAAGAGGCGTAATTTGCGCTTCTACTGCATGGCCATTCCGCTGATTGTCGGGTGTAGAAACGAAGTACATGGCTACTGTCGCATAGTCTGGCTGGGCTGTTGGCTTGGAGGCCAGACGAGTCGAAACTTGTAGTTCCTTTTCTCTTGCCATTAATGAAATGGCTGTCTCGAAATCCGCAAATTCAAACCCGTCGGGCGCAATTACTTTCTTGACATGATCGCTATTGAAGCATGCTGTGACATGGTCCCAATCGCGAAAGAAAAGCTCGGTGGTGTCGTCACGTCCGCACCAGGTTTGATTTGCATTCAACAGAGGACCGGCCTCGCCCCGTGGGCCGTAAGCAGAATCGAAGATCTGCGTTTGAATGTACTTACTATTAGTCTGGATGTCAGCAAAGCCCGAGCGCAATACGGACTATATTTTTGGAACTTACTGTGGTTTTTGGTTCTTGTCGTCGACTGCATCACTGATGGAGCCATGGATCTGGAAGCGGTGATCAAAGAATTCTTTACGAGTCAAGCCAGGCTTTCTACGCCCAGTAGCTATCTGCTTAATTATTCCGGTGGAAGTAGCCATGATGGTTGGATGTATCAGTCTATATCTCGCTTGCGAAAATAGGAATCTAGCATACGTACATGCTATCGTCACTTTCACCAACCTCTTATATTACTCGTATTGAAGCCTCGTTTTTCTTTCAACTTCTCCACATTCCGAGTGCGAGTCGTACGACGAGTACCGAGATTACGTGCTCAATTTATAATCATGCCGTGTTCATACCAAGCCCCCGGATTCGACAGGGCCGACCTCTCTACTTACTCCTTGACTGCCTATTTTGTGGCATAATGTGCCCATGGTGGGCATAATAAGCAGAATTATCCGTCTTTCGTATGGTTTTGTGAGGTATGCCAGGGTAGTGAAGCCTAAGTTTGGTAATGTTCTAGCAGATGCCTTTCTACCAGCAGCATTGGTCTTGCATTAACAGAAGTGCTATCGTTTGGAGATCCCTTCAGTTCCTAGCCGAAAACAAGTTGAATATCATCTGGTAATATGCAGTGTGGTCTTGTGATAACATGCATAGATTCGACACCACCAGTGTCCTTCCCTGGTGCGGCCCCGACTTGGCAATCCGGGTTAGCGAAGGACACAGGCCAAAGGTATCGACCGGGTGCGGAGACGGCTGCACTAGATCCAGGCTAGGCAAATGTTTATGTGTGTATCTCCAAGCCACAAGAGCAACTAATGACTAGTAGTGCAATGTGTGAAAACAAAAGAATGTTAGGCCGGGAAAGTGGAGAGGCGTGAGGCACAGATAGGATAAATACGTGCTGCATCTGAACCAAAGGTACTGCAGGGAGTGAGGCCCGATTCGATGTTGAACGCGTCACTTCACTGTGCACCCCCTACTAGCAGGTTCGTCTGACCTGAACATATGCGTGGGATTTATGAAAGTTGTTATCCAACTTATTCATTAGGCCACAGTTGCCCAAATCTACATGTGATTGAGTTTCCAACTCTTCAATGCATTCTAACGTGAGATTTTGTAAATACTTTTGCTGATCATTTATAAGGTTGCAATCTTGATAGCGGTGACCAAGGGCCATGCACGAGGGGCGGCATGTGGAGACAGTTCGGCGTTATACGTGTTTACTTGCGCCGAGAAAGTTTCGGCTTCATTATCGGGACCACCTGAACACGACGGATTCACCATATCTCATCCACGTTCAGTTTAGCTCATATATTAACCGTTACCCCCGGATGCAAGAGCTTCGCGTCTGCGGGGAAACCTGGGGTCCGGGACATGTCACGGCTCGGCTCCAGATCCTATTTGATGAGACCGAACAATCTGAGTAGAGACAGCTCGGCTACAGATCTATTGCCTGGTGCACATATGTAAACAGTGTTCCTCTTGTAATTGCACTCTATCGGTTACGCGTCTCCATAAAATACAGAAAAGCCGAGCGAAGTGCAACGATATGGACAACAAAGAAGAAGCACAAACTCAAGAACATGTTCCAGAAGAAGTTTTCGTGGAACCAACTGAGGTTCATGTTAGAACTATCATAGCGGTGGCTGTACGTCATGTAGATTCTTTGTTTCGTTGCTCGACTAACAGTTTGTTGCTTCATGTAGGCTGTCTGCTTGACGAGCACTGCCCAACTCATTTCCATTGTGGGCGGCGGGATACTCGCTCGAGGCATGGCAACCAGGCTCGGTGACGCTAGTGTATCGCAGTGGTTTGGAACCATCAAGAACATCTTAACCTTGGTCGCTATCCTCCCAGTCTCCCAGGCCGCAGATTTCTGGGGCCGAAAATGGTTCATCATAGTCTGCAACGCGCTCGGCGTGATCGGGTATATCGTCGTTTCGCGATCTAAAGACATTACTACAGTCATAGTCGGCTTTGTTATTGGCAGTGCTTCGTTTGGCTGTCAGTCTTTAGCCTATGCTATTCCTTCGGAAGTCTTGCCTCGGAAGTACCGTGGTTATGGCCAAGCTGCAGCAAATATATCCGGCGGATTGGGAGCTACGGTTGCAGTCCTCATGGGCAATGCTCTTACGAAACATAACCCTGACGGCTGGCGGATATATTGGTATATCTGCGCTGCCGTCTACTTTCTCGGCCTTGTATGCGTCTTCTTCGGCTACAACCCTCCGCCTCGTGAGCTCGAGACTACAATGACTACAACACAGAAACTTCGGACAATGGACTAGACTGGAAGCTTGCTTATTGGAACAGGCCTCGTCCTCCTTTGTATGGCTCTCCAATGGGCTGGCAATCCATACAGATGGTCAAACATTCATGTTCTCGCGCCTCTGATTATTGGCATCTGCTTTCTTGTGGCTTTTGGCCTGTGGGAGTGGAAGGGTACTAGTGAAGGCATTCTCAACCATCGGTTATTCCAGCACAGAAACCTGCCCATCTCACTCCTTCTCTTCTTTACTGAAGGTCTTACTTTCCAAACGGTCAACAACTACTTCAGTTTTGAACTCACTACGATCTCTCACATCACCTCCTGGGACGCCGGTCTTCGGTTCATCGTAGTTTTCCTAATCTCTGTTGTCATCGCTTTTATAGGAGGCGCCTACATCACAATTCGGAAGACGATCCGAGAGACTTTGGTGCTCGGTTTCTCCGTCGTCACCGCTTTCTGCACCGTCATGGCATTCTACAAGGAAAGCCTTCCCTTAGCCAACGGCTTTGGCTATGCGGTCCTTAGCGGAACGGGACTGGGAGTCATTTTGACTGGTACGATTGTGGCTGCACAGATGGGTACTCCTCCAGACATGATATCCCTCGGTACTGCACTGCCCTTGGCCACAAGATCCTTAGGAGGCGCGGTCGGCCTCGCTATTGATAATGCAATCTACAGCAACACTCTCGGCGACAAACTAGCCAAGAAGATCTCTGCAGCCGTATTGCCGCTTGGGTTCAGCGCAAGCCACTTAGGAGCCCTGATCAAAGCGCTCGCAGCGAATTCGCCAACTGTCAACTCAATCCCCGGAATCACGCCACAGATCCTCGCTGCCGCTCGCCATGGATCGACTGAAGCATATAGGCTGGCCTTCAAAAATCTCTGGACTTCCGCCGCTTGCTTTGCAGCAGCTGGTGTCATCGGTAACGTTCCCCTCTCCCTAAGTTTAGTTAGGTTTTGGAAGTCTAGAGCGGCCTATCTAATACTTCTAAAGGTTCAATATTCATTTCAGAAACGCAATCTGAGTTCACAGAATACATCGACGCTCCTGTCGAGACCAAGCGGCTGGCCGTGGATGAGAAATTAGCAGACGATGCTACGATTTGAAAAGTAATAGGAGTTTAAGGCTGGATGTTGAGTACTACGAATTACAGGAATTCCCCAAACTAGTTTTCCTGTTCATCCACGGTGATGTGATGTCATGGTTGGAGGCAATTGTAGCTTTCGGTCTAGGATACAGCCGAGCGATATGTTGTTCATTCTCTATGACATGCAAATTGTTAAGGGGACGTGACTGGTGATACTTGTCAGCTGATATAAGCCTCAATCTAGTTACTGTGTTCCACTAGTAAGCTGCGCACCCCAGTAAGCTGCGCACCCCACCTAACTTGACGCGACTCTCTACGCGATAGCTCTACAACAACATAAAATAATAGAATACAATCTTGTACATAGCTAGTCTATTACTGTCTACATTAAGTCCTAGTGTGTCCTTAGATATAGCACTTCGTACACGTTAGTAGTGCGCGCTGACGTCCTTAAGTAGCCTAAGCTTGTTCTACCTCCGCGACCACCCTTTCTGCCTCTATAGCGAGCTGCTGGCCTTGCTAGGCCTGTAGCGCTCCTCCACAAGCTATATATTAACGTCGCTAGTCTCTCCTACGTCGCTGGCGCTAACTAGCTGTACGAAGCTTCCTATTCTCCTCTGCGAGTATAGTCGCTAAGTTCATCGCAAGCTAACAACCTTTGACAAGCTGGCGTATAGCTTAGCTTGTTAGGCTCTGCGACTAGCGGTGAAGGAGGTCCTTTACGTGTTAAGCCTGCTTTTTAAGCTGCGCTATCGTACGCAGTGTCTCTGCGGTCCATGCAACGTTATTGTCTGCTGTTGTCCCTAGTAAAGACAGCGTACGGACGACAGTAAGCGACGATAGGACGCGTTCTGGACAGGGAGGGATAAGCCCTGTCGCCTAGAAGCCTGCCTAGATGTTCTGCTGCGTAAGTACTGCTGGCCGGATCCGTGTATAGGCGGTAAGGAAGTCTATCTTGTCAATATAGTAGACGCCTTGGCGAGCTAGCTCCTGGATCTCGTGACCGTAC